ATTTGAAACGGAACTTAACACAAGAGAACTCCTCGGATCTTGAAATGCTCCTTGTTGCAAAATAGTGCAAATCGTGCAATTGTTGGCTTGTTGCGACAATATATCATCAAAAGCAACTTCAAAGATAATGACTTGCAATTAAGGTACCTTGAGACAAGTAGACGACTAGACATAGACAGACCTATCTTTGATGCATCATGGTTATAGTGCCACAAACTCCAGCCTTAAGGAATCATAGATACTTTATTTACATACTTTGACTTATAATTTACCTGATGTAGTGTGCACTTGAGCAATGAAGCAACCAACAAGGGACTTGCAAACTGCAAGCACTGTTAGTGATGCCCTTAAGAGGCCATAATTAGCATTTACACTCGCTAGCAAGCATGCAAGACTGAACTGAAATGCAAAAAAAATTCAAAGTAAAATGGTTAAACAACACTACATCATCCCTAACAAAAAAAGTAGACATGGGATGATAAAAAGGAAAGTGCCTAAAGAGATCGTATACAAGAAACATGTGTTTACCTTAGGCTGATAGAAAAATATAATAACTAGAGAAACACAAGAAGAATGAGCCACCTCAGTAAAATCCAAACTCGAATATTGGGTTGCAAGCATATAACTATATAAGTCACTTTTGTCATTTTTGGTGACTCAAAATGTTAGTCACATTTGCTTTTTTCAAGTACCATTAATAATATTTTTTTTACCAAAATTCTCTAACATTTGCAAAAATATTTGTGCAAATTTAACTTTCCTATGTAAATTTTACTTTCCCATGTACTATAATTACTTTCTCTCTCTATTTTCTTACTTTCTTAGATACTCAATGTAAATTAACTTTTTCAATGTACTTTCTTTATTTCTCCTTAATTCCCGTGATTTTTTTAGCAAAAATGACTATCAATCGGGGACGGGGGAGTAACAATTAAGCAACTTAAAAGACATAATTCTTACAGTACGAAATCAAAAATTTGTATTTTAAGCATTGGAGACCGTACCAATTTAGCTTGGACCGCACAAAAAAAATCTAATCTAAAACCTAAACCATCTTGTATTGGACTTATCCTTATCATTTTGTTAAGGGCTTAGGCATACAATAACCAAAAAAAAAATTCTGGTCAAAGGCTAGATTTTAAAGAGTTTTCGATCGAACCAAACATAATACTAGAAAAATTAATTGTTTAGCTCGATTCCAAGATCGGACTTGTTGTTGAACACCCCTAAGAAAGGGGGGTTGTTTTTCTGTGGAGCTGGGGTTTTTCTCGATGGGTTTGGCCACGAACGGTAGTTATCTTATTTTATTTTATGGTCCAATTACGTGTTAACATGTGCCAGTAACCTATTGTATCAAGTTGTTGACCGGTTGCACCTGTTAGGTTAAAGCCTAAGTGAAATTCGGTAATAGATCATCAATCAATAACTATTATGCATGATTTGTAATACCCCGTATTTTTAGAGTATTTTACAATAAAAATAAGTATTTTAATAAATATGAATAGTGGTATTTATACAAGTATTTGATATAAGTATATTTTACAAGTATTTAATAAATATCTTAAGTATATTATTATTATATTTTAAAGCAAGGAGATAAACTGATTTTCTCTTTTATTATATAAGAATATTTATATTAAAAAAAAAAGCCAGAAATGTTATTGACATTCTGAGGGGTAAATTTGTCTCAACATAGTGGGTAAGGAGTTTCTTAATTTGCAATAATCCTTATTTGCATGTTTTAGCTTTTATAGGTTAGTTATTAGTGATAAATATACTACCTCCGTTACATATTATTTGCAACGATTTGATATAAAATAGAGAGAAAAAATGTCTAATCATTGCAGATAATATGTAACGGAGGTAATAGATATGTTACATAAATAAGGTAACACCTCTTAGTCTTTTCATCAAATGTTACCTATTTTTTAAAAGTTTTACTTTAAAATGTTACTTATTAATTTGAAATTTTACTTAATATTTGAGTTTCAAGCCTTAATTGAATGCACATTAAAGAAACTAACACAAACACCGGAAAAAAAATAAATAATATTTTGCATTGATAACCATGTTGTTACGTATACATTAAATTTAAGATTGTATATATTAAATTAGTTAATAAGATAAGAAAATTAAATAAAATTTAAGGTTATTTAATTCATCGGTATATATAATGATAACAATCGATTAATACGGTAATTCTAATATTTTTATTTATATAATGTATGTATTAAATTTAAGCTGGTGTAATTCATCGATATTATATTTTAAATAAAATATATACTAAATACTAAATTAATCACCGGATGGACACTTGGCATGATTTTGTGAAAAATTTTCTCTCCAAAATACTTTACTTTTTTTTTTAAAAAAAAAAATATCTATTGAAAAAATTAAAATTCTTTTAATAAATTCTTTTAAAGGATAGACATTAATAAATTCAATTTTTTTTCTAAAAAAAAATGTTACATAAGCCATTTAGTTTCAATTAATTGTTATTATTAATAAATCGTATATTATAAATGCATGCATTACACGATACTAAAACTAGTTAACTAATAAGATAAGAAAATTAAATAAACCAATAATATTAAAATTATTTATGTAATAACAAATTACGTGAAATTAGGAAGCAACTTTAACATTTTTTTTTGAAGGGATGTATATGATTTCTCCGATTTATCTACATTTAGAGAATGAATTGGTAAATACGAAACAATTTTGTTAGGTCAAACACTGAAAATCATTTATCACTTGTAACAGTTCCTAATCGTGCACGCACATCCTTTATAAGAATATAACCTTATTTTTGCCGTCCATCAATTTTTTTACCAATCTCGTTTATTCTCTCAATCAAAGAATTTCATTGAGGAATCGCCTCTCTATCACAAATGTCGGACAAACATTCAAAATATCGATTAATGCTAATACCAAAAATAAATGGAGTCCCAATGTTTTTAGTATGTCCCCAATCAAAACTGTAAAAACCCTTCCATTTTTATCCAACAACCCGCCTCCCGATGATCCTGACACACCACCAATACAAAATTGCATATATTAAGTTTAAAAGAGCTTGGTAAAAATATGTTGGACGACAAAAATAAAGTCATGGATGAACTGCATCCACGATTAGAAACTACTACAAGTGATAAATGGTATTTAGTGTCTGATAACATTAAGTATGCCAATTTCCTGAATTCATACTTTAGTTTGAGAGTATAACCGCTTTAAACTCACCAGCCGCGAATCTAACAGCTCATGTTGTTGGAAATAATTGAGTCAGTGCCAAAATTCTGATCCAAGTAACCATTCTTCATGCCACTTACTACTATTTGAACAGATTTATGATGAATGTCATTGAAATAATCATTTAGCCATTCTTCCTTTTTCACCAAAAAATCTTCATAACTCATCTAATTATATGAAAAATTGCAGTCATTTAAAGTTTGTATTTTGCAAATTACAGCCATTTAATTTTATTTTTTTTTGCAAATTACAGCCCAAAAATTCGTATAAATTGTAAATTGAAGCCCAATTCGACTTTTTCATCGGTTAATATGTCAAAAAATCTTCGTTTAAGGTTTTAGGGGCCATTTTAGTTCTTAGGGGACCGAATTGAGCTCGGAATTAGCAAAAAAAAATAATGTAAGTGTCTCATTTTTACAGTTTCCCACAAATCGATATATTTTTGTTACGCAAAACGAGGCACTTATGTTATTTTATTTGCTAATTTCGAGCTCAATTTGGACTCTTAAGGACTAAAATGGCCCCTAAAACCTTAACCGAAGATTTTTCGACATGTAAATCGATGTAAAAATTGAATTGGGCTGCAATTTATACGAACTTTTGGGCTGCAATTTGCAAAAAAAAAAAATTTTAAATGGCTGCAATTTGCAAAATATGAACTTTAAATAGCTGCAATTTGCAAATTTTCCTTACTTAATAGAAATACTCATCTTCGATCATTAGTCAATACTTATTTTTGTTAGAAAATACTTCGTATTGTGTCTCATTCTATGTACCACCCACCATTATTGGTTCATATCATTTTAACTATCCCTTTTCTTGATTTTTTATAATAGAGATCATAATTTATATTCTAGTTTTTATCTCTTTTTCTTTTCTTGTATACTACTTCCTCTGTTCTTTTTTACTTGACCTGTTTCTTTTATCACGCTTGCCAATGCAAAAATTTAACGGCAAAAAAATATAAAAGTTATATATTATGATATTACTTATTGAGACGAATTCAAAATGATCCAACATGAATATGTTTTTCCTTCCATATTATTCACAAAACACGGTCAAAGGAGGGGTGGTGAATAGTGTAAAAGTCAAAGTGGGTCAAGTTAAAAAAAACAGAGGAAGTATGTTTTTATTCAACTCCATCCTTTTTTTTTGAAGTTCTTTTTCCCTTCTTTTGTACAACCTCCATAACTCTACAAGAATCATATTTTTTTGTGCTTAATTACCTCAATTCATTCGTTTTCCATAAATTAAATATCAAAGTACAAAAATTTCAATTTAATGAAAAACTACATGACAAGTAATCTGGCTATGTTGTCATATCCAGTTTTACTAAATCGATGATATAACTTGAGTGTACAGGTGCTATGGCAATTATATATATTGTAAAGAAACCGTTGTCTCCAATCTCCATTGCGGAGTACTTAGTTAAGTATAATAGTGAGAGAATGACTTATGAGAACTTAAGGTACTCCGTATAAAGAATTATTTAAGAAAAATAATAGAGTTGAATCAAACGTAAATGTATACAAGAAAAGAGATATTAGTACTTGAATATAAATTACGTAAATTCTATTTAATTTAAGAAAAAAATACATTTTAATAATCCCAATTTTACTAATCTTATCGTATTTGGCAAGCTTTTGAAGATTTCTTAGCTTGAGAAACAATCCTAGGGGCAAACAAGTTCTCGAATAATAACCTTGTTTAGAAGCCCAACCTAGTTTTTAGAAAAGGAGAAAACACCAAGTGACTTAGATTATAGAGTTAAAGCTCATTCGAAAATGCTGAAGTTTGCAATCGAACAATAAAGTTGTCCCCAAAACAATAAAGTGATGGGTAAGAAATTTAAAAAACAAACAACAAATTATTTTAACTTTTGTACCTATCACCTATGAATCAAGAATACAACATATTTCTGCAATAGATTGTTCTATGATATGAAGATAAAGGAGGGGTATCTGAATCCATGATCCATCCAAGAAAAGGTTTTGGTCCAGGTTTTATCACCCTTCACATTATCAGCAGAAGAATACGACTCGAGTTCAGCCATTTCATCAAGTGTACAAGGCCTCAATACTTTGGTTCAGATTATTGATCTTGCTTTGTTCCCGGAATAGGACAGACATCGTCCCCTTGATGATGAACCCAGGCAAGAGCGAGCTGCGATGCAGTGCACCCTTTCCTCGCAGCCATTTCACTAACCCGTTCAAAACATGTTTGTTAAGCTAAAGGTTTTCAGGCAAGAGCCTTGGTATGTTCTACAAGAGTTTGAATCAGCAGGATTATTAACCAAAAAATCAAAAGAAATGAGTGAGAAGAGAAGAAAAACATGCAAAATTAAGTACGAAATACAAAGTCTATTAAGGGTCTACTTGTTTTGTATTATTTAATCTTTTTTTTAGGAAAAAAAAAATCAAATAATAAAATAAGTTCATATAAATTAAAATAAGTTTAGATAAGATAATAAATAATTTAAGACAAAATTAGATGAACCAATGTTACCAAACATAGCCTAAAAAAAAATTCTCACAATTGACCCTCTTTTTTCTCCCTTTATATTAGTAGCCAAAATATATTTTAACCTGCTACTAATAATAACTGAAATCAAAAAAATAAAAATTAACAAAAATTATACTCCCTCTGTTCCAATATAGTTCCATGATTTTTCTTTTCAAGCTCAAACATTGAAAGTACAATAGCCTACAAAAAGTACAATAATCTTCAAATTGTGCTTAAGAGATTACTGTGGATTATATAAGGTTTTTCGAACTGTTGTACAAACACCTTTGCTTGATATCATACTGTAACACACCTTTGCTTGATATTAGTCATTATGCCCAATAAAACCGCTAACAAGACTACTGCCTTAGAAAGATACTCGAATCCCTACAGTCTAAATTGAGCAATAATGAAGAGACTCTTAAAGCCTAATCCTATATTTTCAAGAGAGGCTATTTTTAGTAAATTTTGAGCCAAAAGACAACTAAGTAAAATATAGCAAGTTTACACAGTAATAAGATGCTTTGAACACACCTTTCGGTAGTCACCTTCACAGAAAATTTCGACCACCTTGGGTCCCAACGAAAAGAATCCACGACCTAAAGGGCTATATGCTACTATTTCGATGCCAAGTTCTCTGTTCAACATCAACAACAGCATGCTCATATACTTAGATCAGTAAATAAAACTTACAACCATTAAAACTACCCCATTACGGTCCCCAAACTTCCAACCATAGGCGAAGGAAGATGGACTTTGTGCAGAAAAAACTTGCAAGGTAACTATTTTAAAAGAAAATGGAAATAGTGGACTCACCTGCAGGTAGGCACAATTTCTTCCTCCTAATCTCGTGTCCACAAAGACCACTCCATCTGCACCGCTGTTATGGGGTGAACAGCATGAGCTCTCCTGATTGTTGCAACACATGCTTCTGATAGACCAATGTACTTTATTTTTCCCTCTTCAACTAGTTTTTTTTAGTTTGCCTATCTGGATGATGGACAGAAGAATCATGGATAGGAGCAGCAGCAGCATGCAAGGGCAGCACGGTATTAACAAATATGTATGATTTACATTAAACGTCAGAGAGCAGAATGTTTTGGTGTTCAATTGAAACATGAAACCAAAAGCAAGAACCACTAAGATTCATCGTGGAAGATCCCAATAAACATTTGTATTGTCCTTTTTCAGTTCTTGCAAAACAGTAAACGGAAAACAAGCATAAATATTTAAGTATAATGCTCACTAAGAACAATTGAGCTTGGAATCAACATATAGGGGTAGGCTATGAATAAGAGAGATTCAACACACTAACCGTGATTCAATCGGAACACGGGTATCAACACAATGCTGATAAAACAAGTCTATGCAATCAACATCAATTCTCTTCAAGCTAGCCTCACAAGCAGCCCTCACATGGGCAGGATCACCTCGCACCTCTATCTTACCATCAACTTATATTAACCCAAACTTGGTCGCCAGTTATACCTTCTCTCTCATCCTTCCTTTTAGAGCCTGATTAATCAACCAAGAAACATTTATTTCCACACAAAACTAGCAACAATGTCTCATAAACAACATAATGTAGAAGATGTATGCCAAAGCGTGTTAAAATTTATACACAACTTAAGACAAATATGATGTAAATCAGCCTTGTAAACTTTTGAGACTTAGCAATCACGAGACTTGTTCACCAAACTAAAAGTACTCCTCCTATCATAACTAGTCTCCTTTTACAAGAGGAGAACAAAAAGAAGAGAACTTGGTGCTTCTCCCGCCAATATATTACAATAACTCTATCAGAATAATTGTGTACAAGATAGTCTAATCATACACAACAATGGAAAAATTGCACCCCAACTACCACAGGACGAGATCTTCTTCGAATTCTTAGATATTAATAATGCACCACAGAAGAGAGGCAGGGGATAAGGGTAAGACGGGGAGACAACGGAAACTTGACAGAAACCAGCAATTCATAATACAATAATTTAAGACAGCATGGACATGAGAAACAGCTAACACAAGACAAATTGCCATGGCAGATCAACCGAAAATCTTAAGAGTTGTACTGCAAGTCATTTGTAAATTGCAGTGTAGTTCTAGAGAATGTACGATGTAACTGATGCAGAATTACAAAGGTCAAGCCATTTGTAAATTGCTTATAAAGAACTTCTCGGATCTTGAAATGCTCCTTGCTGCAAAATAGTGTAAATCCTGCAATTGCTGGCTTGTTGCTGCAACAAAATATAATCAGAACTTCAGAAGCAGCTTCAAAAATAATGACTTGCAATTAAGGTACCTTGACACAAGTAGACATAAACGGACCTATCTTTGATGCATCACGATTATACTGCCACAAACTCCAGCCTAAAGGGATCATAGATACTTTGCATACTTTCCCTTATAATTTACCTGATGTAGTGTGCACTTGAGCAATGAAGCAACCAGCAAGGGACTTGCAAACTGCAAGCACTGTTAGTGATGCCCTTAAGAGGCCAAAATTAGCATTTACACTCACTAGCAAGCATGCAAGACAGAACTGAAACGCAAATTTTTTTTTTTCAAAGTAAAATGGTTAAACAACACTGCATCATCCCTAACAAAAAAAGTAGACCTGGGATGAAGTAAAGAAAAAGGAAATGACAGCATGTAAGGAGGTGGAGGGGTGGATGAATAACTTGACTGAAACCAACAATTTATGATGCTATTTAAGGAAGCATGAACAAGAGAAATTGCCAAACACAAGTCGGATGCCCAACAGATTGCTATGGTATTTAAGATCAAACAAAATATCTTAAGAGTAGAGCTTCCCATGTCACCATATAATGGTGTAGCATTTTAGAACGTACCTTAAGTTATTGAATGAAATACATTAAAGAAAGGAAAATTGAAAACAGAGACAAAAGACTATTTAATGTCCAAGAGCTTTGCCTAATGAAGACTAGGAAGCATCAAGCTTACATAAATACTGAATACCTCTGTAATATTGCACTAATAAGCAGTTCAGAACCAGCAAGATGAAGTAAATGCAAGAGGCAGGTTATCAGAAAAAGGGAGGGTTAAAAAGAATCTGGTTAGAGTCTTGAATGACCTAAGAGGTAAATATTTGACCCGTATCTGTCCACACAGTAGTTCTAATAGTGCGCGGTCATCAGAAGCCACAGTTGATGTTGGAGCAAAAACTATGGAACCCTCCAAAGATAGAAGGGACCATCCATAATGCTCCAAAAATAGACCTGTTTGTACAATATCTACAGCAGATATTGTTTAGAAGTTCAGAATATTGTTTACAGTATTGCTTATAAGTTTCCTGATACAGTTATGTGCATCACAATATCAATGTGTTATTGTCCCAATGTCATCACCTAAGAAAATATTACGGTACTCAAACATTGATGCTTAATAGTTCATGGAAAAGGCCATAATATAAAACAATATGCTAAGTAAAGCCCTATAGTACAGAGTTTAGGATCCAGGACTTCTGAAATTTTGAGTTACAGCATAAAGAAAGTGTTATAGCTGGAAACAAGAGATGTAAATTATTCGAAGCACATGTCCATGCAAGATAACATAAATTAAGGTTTTATGTTCCGTAAATGAAAAGAAGAAAAGGCGTACCAATAAGAGTAAGTCTGGAATAAAATACTTGCAGAAACTGCCAATTACTTTATAAGATGAGCACTTTTGGAGTTCATTCTTCAGCCCTTTGCATGATAAAAAGTAAAGTGCCCGAAGAGATTGCATACAAGCAACATGTTTTTACCTTAGGCTGATAGAAAAATGTAATAACTAGAGAAACACAACAAGAATGAGCCACCTCAGTAAAATCCAAACTCGAATACTGGGTTGCAAGCATATATCGCGTACAATTTGTGCCAAATACAACATTTGCAACTTTCCCCATTCCCAAATTAGAAAAAGGGAAAAGCAAGAAAAACAAAAGGAAAATAAATATTAACCCGAATCACCAGACCAGAATAAGTAATAAAAACACTATATACAGAAAATTACATGAATACAGAAAATGATGGTGACAGGAAAACTTACATTACTTCATATTTTCACTCCATTTCTTTCCAGAGAGAACCTAAATATAAACTTTTTACAGTGTCAATATTCAATACTACCAGCGTTCAGAAGTATCACTGTCTTCCCTATGACCCTCAGGCCTCCAGAATTGCTGCTCTGCATTGACATCCACCGGTTGATCATACTCTTCATCACTGTCTTCCTCGTAAATTTCAAATTCTGAATCATTCCCGTCAAATAGATCCTCAAATCCATCATCTTCAGTAACATCATCAAAAGGTTCCAGCTCCTGATGAACAACTTTAACAGGATGATCTTTAATGAGAGTGTCATCATTAGCTAAGGCCAATTTCATTTCTCGCCTTATTCTCTTGCCATGCCTGACCAGCTCAAACAAATGATTTTTGATAAGGAGACCTTCATCCTTTTGGATGAGTTCACCATTATCATCATATGCCTCAACCAAGAACACGGTGTCCCTCTGGCCCTTCAAACTTACATAAAACAGTTCTGGATGCCGAACCAACATAGCCCTTAACTTGTTGGGTAGCCCAAAATCCTTTCTGAAATGTGTCAAATGGTCTATCAACGTCCTCTTTTCAACTGTCATCCCCAAAATTTCCCTCACTACATTGCAAGCCCTCTTTTCTGCTTCTAAAGAACTTTTATGAAATTCTTCAAATGAAGTCTTATAGGGACATATATCAGGCAATTCTCCGAATCTAATCAAAAAATCATGATGGCGTCTCTTCACAGTTAAGCCTTTTCTTAATTTTACTAGCTTAAATTTCAAAGGCCTATCCACAATTAGCTCAGGTGAGTGATTTCTAAACTTTGGCAACGGTTCCGCTAAATTTGGGTCCCAAGACACAAGTTCAAGAGCATTACCATAGGATGTAGTAACAATCTTGAATTTTCCAGGATTCTCATTGCAAAGACGGGACCTAAAATTGGGTGGCAGACCAAGATCAGGCCCCATATGTGCAAGCTTTGACAAAACAAGTCTCCTATGAGGAGAGAGCATGAGAAGCTTTTGAAGCTTGTTGGCCATCAAAACAGAAGCAGTAGACTTAAGATGGGCTTCTCGCAAAGAAAGCGATTCAGCAGCTGGGGTTAAACGCACACACAGTTGGGAGTTTGTTTTCGTTGCATTAAGGGGAGTAGGCGGATATGGCACATAGAAAAGCTCAAAGAGGGTAGGATAACGTTCGATCATAGAGAGAATAGACCGAGGCTTTGATAGAGATAAGTAGGAACGGCATTTGGAGAGAACGCGGATAGACATGTAGTGTTGAATTGACTACCTTAATATTTTGATGATTGACTTACATAAAACAAACTCTGACTAATGATGTTTATGAGTCTTGGTTGAACAGAAAGATTCAGGTACACAAATACATGTTCCGGAGTAGGAACAACAGAGTTTGGAAGACTTGATGATGAATGCAAGCTTTCAAGATGTCCTCACAACTCTAGTATACTTAGTTATTCAGTGCATGAACTTAAGAAACAAAAGTGTTGGAAGGAACTCATGAGAAACTCAAAGTTCCTGATGGAATCTGGAATTCTTGAAGGAACTTGACTGATGCTCAGAAAAGTGTTTAAACGATGGTTTTCAAAAACAGTTTTCATATCCCTTAATTTAAGGAAAAGATAAAATCAGTTTTGAAAAAGATTTATTTTATAAATAAATAAAATCAAAATAATTCATTAATTTAAAAGATAAGTTTTTAAATTAATTAATTATTTAGTTATCTTTTAATTAATAAACAATTATCTTTTTTAATTAATAAATAATTATCTTTTTAAATCCTTAACTGATTTTTTACTTAGTAAAAATAACTGTTTACTTAAATTAAGGAAGCACGTTGATTTAGGAGTCAAGCTAGTGAAATCATGGTTCTCAACTTCCTCCACTTACATCCCAACTTCCCAGTATAGGTGAACGTGGGATTGAGGGGGAAGTAGGAACATGATGGAAGCTTGGATAATCTCCCTATAAAAACAGATCAACGTTAAGTTTTGAAAGTGTGGAAAAATAATCTTAAGTATTCTGAGCATAGAGTTTCAAAGTGTTTAAAAGAGAAGTTCCTTCCATCCTTAGTCTCTTAAGTTCTTTAGGAAATACTTGTAATCATTGTGTAATTGGGTTTGGGTTGTGAGAGTTGTAAAGTGTGAGATTTGAGAGAGTTGTTTACACTGTACAAGTGATTCGGAGTAGAATCACAAAGTGTGAGAAACTGTGATTGAGGGATCACAGTTGGGTAACTTGAGTTCCTCACGGAACTTGAGTCTAGGCAACGTATTAGTGATTGTAAATTATTTTTACATAGTGAATTTATTCATTGCCTATCTCAGTGTCTTTTCTCTTAGTAGTAGATTTAATTCCACAAAATTTACCATAGTCTACATACACTACAATTCACCCCCCCTCTTGTAGTATACATTGTTCTATCAATTGGTATCAGAGCAAGGAACTCGGAAAAGCAGGAAGCCCTGTCGAGTCAAGTTCCTGGAGGAACAATGTCAAAGGACGAGAGACTAGCTGAAGGTTACTCTACACAAAGACCACCACTCTTCAATGGGAAGTACTATGCCTATTGGAAGACAAGGATGGAGATGTTCATACAGTCCGAGAATTATCAAGTCTGGCGAGCTATCGAAGTAGGAGATTACGAGGTAACCAAGACCAATGCAGAAAATGAGGTAATTCCTAAACCTATCTCTGAATATGATAGAAATGACTTTGAGAAGAAAGAGATTAATGCTACTGCTAAAAAACTCCTAGTTTGGGGTTTAGGGCCAGATGAACACACTCGTGTTATGGGATGTAAAACAGCAAAAGAAATATGGGATTTACTAGAAATAACCCACGAAGGAACTCATGAAGTCAAACGTTCTAAAATTGATATACTGCTTTCTAAATATGAACGTTTTGAAATGGGTTCAAAAGAAACTATTCAAGAAATGTTTACTCGTTTTAAAAATATTACTAATGAATTAGTTTCTCTTGGTAGAGTTGTTCCTATGGATGAACAGGTACGCAAAATTCTAAGAAGCCTTCCTGAAGATGAACGGTGGAGAGCCAAAGTGGCTGCTTTGCAGGAATCAAAGGACTTTACAACCTTTAACCTTGAACAACTTGCAGGTTCCTTGATAACTCATGAGCTTCACCTATCAAACAAAAGTCAAGAAAGCTCAAAAAGCCGAGGAATCGCTTTAAAAGTTGCCCAACCAAGTGATGAGGATTCCGAATCTGGAGAGGAAGAAGCTGCCATGCTAGTCAGGAAGTTAAAAAAGCTGTACCGCAACAAAAGGTTTGGTGACCAAAAGAAAAGGAACTTCAAGAAGAACCAATACTCCAAGGAAACAGGAGGTTGCCACAAATGTGGGAACACAGATCACTTCATCAAGGAATGCCCTCTCTGGGAATCAGAAAAAGGAAAAGGCAAAATGAAGGAACACGGAAAATCTAATACTCTTAACTTTTCAAAATCTGATTACAGGAAAGCCATGATAGCTGCGTGGGGAGACACAAGTTATGAGGATGAAGAAGAATCCACGGAAGAAGAAACTGCAAACCTGTGTTTGATGGCTAAACACAGTGAAAAGTCAAAGGAGGTAAATCTCGAACCTAAATTTCTGAAATCCCTGTCAAAAGACAAATTAATTTCTTTGCTCATAGAAACATTGGATGAATATAAAGAAATATGTCTTAAACTTGGACAAAATGAAAAAGCTCTAGAAATCTATAAGGATCATATGAAATATTTGAATAGTTCAAGAACAGATGTTCAGGGAAGATTCTTTGATTTGCTAGATAGAAATACTATGCTTAAAGAAACACTGGAAAGAGTCAAAAATGAAAATATCATGTTAAATGTTGAATTGACTCAGTATAAATTGCTATGCACTAACATTGATTCTAATAATGCTCTTCAATTGCCTTTAGTAACCTTTAATGATGATCTTGAAAATTTGAAAAAAGAATTGCAGGTTACTAAAGACAAAAATGAGTTCCTTGAAAAGGATCTAGAAAGAGCAAGAAACAATGAGAGTGTAATCCACATGGGAGTTCCAAAGTGGATACTTGAAGCTCAAACCGGAAGGACAGAAGGTTTGGGTTTCAACCACAAAAAGAAGAGTAGTAGTAAAAAGAAAAACTATGTGGAACTTCCTAGTGAGACTGTGTGTTCCTTCTGTGGCAAGTCAGGACACAAAGATACTGAATGCAAAAGAAAGGAACTTAAGTCCACTAAAAATATAGTTTATGTATGGCAAAAGAAAAATGAGTCTGCTGTATCAACGAAGGAACCCATGAAAGATGGGGTTCCTGAATCTAACCCTTAGTTTCTTTTGCAGGTCGTAGTGAGGGGGAACAACCAATGGTACCTCGATAGTGGTTTTTCCAAGCACATGACAGGAGATGAATCAAGATTTCTCTCACTGACGGCCTATACAGGAGGAACTGTGACCTTTGGTGATAATAAGAAAGGCAGCATTGTTGCCGTAGGAAAAGTTGGAAGGTCAAGTTCCCAAGCTATTGATAACGTTTTTTTAGTCGAGGGCCTCAAACACAGCTTATTAAGCATATCACAATTTTGTGATAAAGGAAACTCAGTAAGTTTTGATTCTGAAAAATGTAGCATCATTCAGAATGACACTGGGAAAGTTTTGCTGGAAGGAACTCGGAAAGGGAACACTTATACAGTGGATCTCAATACAGTTCCGAGGAACAACTTAACTTGCCTCAGTGTCATTGAGGATGATCCTTTACTGTGGCATAAACGTTTTGGTCATGCAAGTTTCTCTTTGATTGATAAATTAAGAACAAGGAACTTGGTAGAGGGACTTCCTTCAATCAAGTTCCTATGTGACAAAATTTGTGATGCTTGTGTGAAAGGAAAACAGGTCAGATCATCCTTTAAATCCAAGAAAATGGTGAGTTCCACGAAACCTTTAGAGTTAATTCATATGGATTTGTGTGGTCCTATGAGGATTCAAAGTAGAAGTGGAAAGAAGTATGTCTTAGTAATTGTTGATGATTATTCTAGATTCACATGGGTAATTTTTATGTCTAGCAAAGATGAGACTTTTGATGAGTTTGTCACATTTTTCAGGAGAATTCAAAAGTCCACCGGACATCAACTGATACACCTTAGATCTGATCATGGCACTGAATTTGAGAATTTTAAATTTGATGATTTATGCAGGGAACAAGGCTTAAGTCATAATTTCTCAGCTCCAAGAACTCCACAGCAAAATGGAGTTGTGGAAAGGAAGAACAGAACCTTAGAAGACATGGCTCGAACCATGTTAATAGCCAGCAATCTTCCAAGGAACTTCTGGGCAGAAGCCGTGAATACAGCCTGTTATATTATAAATCGTGTCATGCTAAGGCCTATATTAAATAAGACACCCTATGAACTTATGAAAGGCAGAAAACCGAATATATCTCATCTGAGAGCATTTGGTTGTAAATGTTTTGTGCATAATAATGGTAAAAGGAACATAGGGAAATTCGATGAAAGAAGTGATGAAGCCGTATTTCTTGGATATGCTACTAACAGTAAAGCGTATAGAGTTTACAATAAACGCACTATGTGTGTTGAGGAAAGTGTGCATGTTATATTTGATGAAACTAATCCACTTCCATGTACACAGGAACATGAGGACTATGACTTTGAAATTGGTCTAGTACGTCCTCAAGAACAAGAAGAAGATGCAGTAATTCCAAATAAGCAGCCAACTCGATTAAATGAAAATCATGAAAATCCAGAGAAGGAATTCGACATACAGACTGAAGTTCCTTCGAGAGAACAGCCTCAGAATGAAGAACCTGCCGAGGAACCAATAACACAAGAGGAAATCACTGAAGAAGAAGCAACAGGCTCAGGAAATCAGAATAGTCGAGTTCCTATCCAAACCTTCCAGCCCAAACCTTGGAAGCACCAAAAGTCACACCCACTGGACAAAATTATCAGTGACTTATGCAAAGGAACTCAGACTAGATCGCAAATGAGGAACTTCTGTGCCTTCAATGCTTTTCTATCTACTTTGGAACCTCGCAACCACAAAGAAGCCTTAGAAGACCCTGACTGGATTATAGCCATGCAAGAGGAACTCAATGAATTCGAAAGAAATAAGGTATGGCATCTTGAACCTAAGCCACTAGATAAAAAGGTCATAGGCTTAAAATGGGTCTTTCGAAACAAACTTGATGAATATGGTACAATTGTACGAAATAAGGCTAGGTTGGTTGTAAAGGGATATAAACAACAGGAGGGTATTGATTTTGAGGAAACATTTGCTCCTGTTGCTAGACTTGAGGCTATTAGAATTTTAATATCTTTTGCTGCTTTTATGGGTTTTAAACTGTATCAGATGGACGTAAAGTGTGCGTTTTTGAATGGTTTATTAAAAGAAACAGTTTACGTCGATCAACCCCCTGGATTCGAGAATCCAAATTTTCCAAACCATGTTTTTAAACTTGATAAGGCTCTCTACGGACTAAAACAAGCTCCAAGAGCATGGTATGAAAGATTGTCTAAGTTCCTTTTGGAAAATGATTTTAAACGAGGAAAAATTGATAAAACTTTGTTTTTAAAATCTAAAGGAACTCATCTTTTAGTTGTACAGATCTATGTTGATGATATTATATTTGGTGCAACTAACGAATCTTTGTGCAAGTACTTTGCTGACTTGATGTGTAGTGAGTTCCAAATGAGCATGATGGGGGAACTCAATTTCTTTTTAGGACTGCAGATCAAACAAACAGAATCAGGAATATTTATACATCAGCAAAAATATGTCAAGGAACTCCTGAAAAAGTATAACCTTGACAACGCAAAGACTAACCACACTCCTATGGGAACTAACTCTAGATTAGACGAAGATCCCTCAGGAACTTGTGTGGACCAGACAATGTACAGAGGTATGATTGGTTCCTTATTATATTTAACTGCAAGTAGACCTGACATTTCTTTTAGTGTTGGTCTTTGTGCTAGGTTCCAATCAAATCCAAAAGAGTCGCATCTAACTGCCGTAAAAAGAATATTGAGATATCTTAAAGGAACGGCAGACTTGAGTTTATTCTACCCACTAAGTGATACATTCGATCTCAAAGGATTTGCTGATGCAGATTATGCCGGAGACTTAGTAAATCGCAAGAGCACGTCAGGTATGGTTCAATTCTTAGGCTCTTGTCCAGTTTCTTGGAGTTCCAAGAAACAAAACACTGTTGCTCTATCCACTGCTGAAGCAGAATATGTAGCTGCTGCTGCATGTTGCTCCCAATTAATATGGATAAAGCAACAGTTGCGTGATTTTGGCATAATTTTAGAATGTGTTCCTATATACTGTGATAATACTAGTGCTATTTGCATCTCAAAAGATCCAGTACATCATTCACGTGTAAAGCATATTCATGTTAGGCATCACTTTCTAAAAGACAATGTGGAAAAAGGCTCTATTAAATTAGAATTTGTACAAACTGAATATCAAATTGCTGACATTCTAACAAAGCCTTTGAGTAGAGAAAAATTCGAAAAGATGCGATTGGAACTCGGAATGATAAAGCTGAATTGAGCAGTTCTTCTTGGAACCCCAAGGTATGTCTTAGTGAAACGACTGAGCATTGCGATATATAACCTTGGTGTGAAAAACATAATCTCGAATCTTGCAATGAACAAGCATGTAATTCTAATGAGTGTGTGATCATGTGATTATGTCAATGAAGAAGACAAATTAAGCCATATTATTTTCCAAGTTCCTTTTTGTAAAGCTCTGTACATGTTAACCAGTATTTTACTTTGAAGTAACTTACTGGAAATTTTTTTTCTTTCGTAATTTTTATTTTTCTTTATTTTTCAATTTTTATTTTTATCTTTTTATTATTTTTGTTATCTTATAAATTTAAAAAACAACAAAAAGATTTTTTTTTCTCAATTAGATTTTATCTTATTTTTTTATTTTTATCATTGTCAAAATAAATCACAACCTTTTCTCTATCCCACTAAACTCTCAACCGTCACCTATCTTTTCACCTCACTTACCACACGCACCCACTCACCTCAAAAAACCCCAAAACACCAACCGCCACTTCCAACCTTCAAAGTTCCTCTAACCAATGAAGAAACCCACCCCTTGAAACCAGAAAACATACTCCATGAAAAATCCCTCTCAAAATTAAGCCTTAAAGTTGTTCGTTGAAAAGTTTGTTTTATTACCGATGTACACTCGGAATCTGAGGAAGAGGGAGATCAATGTGAGGGGGAACTGAATGAGAGGGAAAGCATTGATGAGGAGGAAGACAGTGAGAAGGAAGAAGTAAAAGAGGAAGACAGTGAGAAGGAAGAAGTAAAGGAGGAAGAAAACAGTGAGAAAGAAAAAGAAAAGAAAGAGAAAGACAGTGAGAAAAATGATGAAAAAGAAGAGGAAACAGAGAGTGAAAAAGAAGAGGAAAAAGAAAGTGAAAAAGAATGAAAAAGTGCAGTAGAGAGGGAAACAGAAGAAGAGAAAGAAATAGAGAGTGAGAAGGAGGAAAAAGATGACAAAGAGGAGTTAGTGAAAGAGCTACTCAAGGAAATTGGAGGCTTTGTTAAACAAACTGTCCCTGTAACAGGTAGAAAAAGGAGAAGCGTTAGACTTGCTTCTTCTAAACCCAGAACACTGAGATCTCAGCCTGTTATTATTGTTGAATTGGATGATGATACATCTAAAGTGTCTGAAGGAACTTCCACCCAAGTTCCTCAGGGTCCGTCTTCCCTTGTTTCTGAAGGCACTCCATCACCACCCCCTATTCCTTCCTCTGTTCACCAAACCACACCTTCTCCACCTGCTTCACAACCTCGTACTTCTGGTTTCGGCTTCAGTGCTTTTAGCTCTGGTCCAAGTTCCTTGCAAATCCAGGAGGAACTTCAGCTTTTGTCCACTACACTTACACAGAGTATAACTAACCTTTCTTCTAAAGTGGATAACCTGGCTACTAAAGTTGAGGGGCTGCAAACTCAGATGCTTTCTCTGGTAGATAAAGTAAATGCTCATATGGACTCCTCGGCTCAGGAACTCAAAGCTAAAGTGAAGCAAAGTTGTTACAAGACCATTCTCGATGCGATCAAGGATGTTACCTTACCATGAAGCTGCTACCATTTCCTAGCCCTTTGCAAAACAAACCTACCCCACTCTTTCTTGTGATTTATTAAACAGTGATATTGTCCTTCAATTTTATTTTGTTTGGCTTGTTTTGAACATTTTATTTTGTTTTATTTCGGTTTGTATTAAACTGGCTAAGTTTGTCTTTGAATTTGATGTTTTCATTTTGGTTGCATATGAACTGTGTGCGCATGCTTAATCGTTCATGAATTCAGATTTACTACTCCCTCCGTAGTTTAGTACTATATATAGCATGCTCTTTCTATCATTTTGATAATGTCAAAAGGGGGAAGAGAAGAACAAACTCAGAAAGCTGGACTCAAACCGATTCCCTTCAAGTCTTCATCATTTAAGTAAAGGTATAAATTTCACAATTTATTAATTTCATGAATGATGCAGACTTCTTTATCCTTAGTTTATTTTATTGCTTTAAATAATTTAATTGTTTTATTTAAGTATTGGTTACTCTGATTGCTTGGATGTTTGTTTTGTTTAACCGAGTTTGTTTTTGTTTGTCATCATCAAAAAGGGGGAATATTGTTGAATTGACTACCTTAATATTTTGATGATTGACTTACATAAAACAAACTCTGACTAATGATGTTTATGAGTCTTGGTTGAACAGAAAGATTCAGGTACACAAATACATGTTCCGGAGTAGGAACAACAGAGTTTGGAAGACTTGATGATGAATGCAAGCTTTCAAGATGTCCTCACAACTCTAGTATACTTAGTTATTCAGTGCATGAACTTAAGAAACAAAAGTGTTGGAAGGAACTCATGAGAAACTCAAAGTTCCTGATGGAATCTGGAATTCTTGAAGGAACTTGACTGATGCTCAGAAAAGTGTTTAAACGATGGTTTTCAAAAACAGTTTTCATATCCCTTAATTTAAGGAAAAGATAAAATCAGTTTTGAAAAAGATTTATTTTATAAATAAATAAAATCAAAATAATTCATTAATTTAAAAGATAAGTTTTTAAATTAATTAATTATTTAGTTATCTTTTAATTAATAAACAATTATCTTTTTTAATTAATAAATAATTATCTTTTTAAATCCTTAACTGATTTTTTACTTAGTAAAAATAACTGTTTACTTAAATTAAGGAAGCACGTTGATTTAGGAGTCAAGCTAGTGAAATCATGGTTCTCAACTTCCTCCACTTACATCCCAACTTCCCAGTATAGGTGAACGTGGGATTGAGGGGGAAGTAGGAACATGATGGAAGCTTGGATAATCTCCCTATAAAAACAGATCAACGTTAAGTTTTGAAAGTGTGGAAAAATAATCTTAAGTATTCTGAGCATAGAGTTTCAAAGTGTTTAAAAGAGAAGTTCCTTCCATCCTTAGTCTCTTAAGTTCTTTAGGAAATACTTGTAATCATTGTGTAATTGGGTTTGGGTTGTGAGAGTTGTAAAGTGTGAGATTTGAGAGAGTTGTTTACACTGTACAAGTGATTCGGAGTAGAATCACAAAGTGTGAGAAACTGTGATTGAGGGATCACAGTTGGGTAACTTGAGTTCCTCACGGAACTTGAGTCTAGGCAACGTATTAGTGATTGTAAATTATTTTTACATAGTGAATTTATTCATTGCCTATCTCAGTGTCTTTTCTCTTAGTAGTAGATTTAATTCCACAAAATTTACCATAGTCTACATACACTACAATTCACCCCCCCTCTTGTAGTATACATTGTTCTATCATGTAGTGTTTAGGCTTCAAAAGAAGCAAATTCCTAAGCTTCTGCACAAATCGAATTCGATTTTGCTTAATCACATGCCTATCTAATGAACGATCTCGTACCAGCTTAGGAGCTGAACAACAAATAGAGAGGGACTTCCTCTTACATTTCCCCAATGAAATTACAAAACCATACCCACCTCTACCAATCCTATCCATTGTAATCGAGGGTATAAAGCTCCTTGTTCGTCTCTGAGCCATGGCAGGAGGGTGAAAAGGTCTAATTTCATAGTTCAATCCTAACATTAAAGGGTTCTGCGATACATTAGCAACCAAATTTGATTCAATTACCAAATAATTCATGATTTAATCCAAACACTAAAGGGATATGCTATACATTAGCCACCAAATTTGATTCAATAAATAAAAAAATCATAGTTCAATCCTAACATTAAAGTAAAGGGTTATGCAGTACATTATAGCAACCAAATTTGATTCAATTAACAAAAAAAATCATAGTTCAATCCTAACATTAAAGGGTTCTGCAATACATTAGCAACCAAATTTGATTCAATTATCAAATAAGGCTCGAAAAATCACATAAATAATTTCAGGGATATTTGATTTATTTATCAAATTAGGGTCATAAATTTCTTTTCTAGCAACATAATCGATGGTTGTGATGTTTCATAATCTTAGTTATTAGAACCAATAGTTCAGCTTTTAGAACCTAAAACAATTAAATTAGATTGCCTCTCAAAGATAAACCTGAAATTGATAAGATTGATTGATTACAAAAGGAAACAACTTACCTCAGAAAGCTGCTTCAATGGGGGATACAAGTATGGAGATTGTCAAGTGCGCTTCAATGGAGAGCTAAGAAAAGAGAACATTGACAGCAATTCAATGGGTTGGAGCCCCATTTTAACCCGTGACCAATCCCAGTTATAAGTGGGTCAGATCCGTATAAACATCGAATAAGGCCATAGAAATTGTTTTATAAGTACACGGTGCATTCAAGAGTACTTTTTGCTCATTTAGTTGATTATTGCTCATTTTATGATCAAATGAACAAACAAATATTATTGGGTGTACCGTATACTAGGGTGTATATAACAATCTCTCATAAGACAATAAATAAAGTAAATCGCTAAACCATTAGTTCCTAATTTTCTTCAGTACAACTCTATTCAATCCTGTTCAGTTTAGTTATCTCAGTTCATAAATCAGAACAGGCCCTTACTAACCGGGTAACGCACGTATTTTAACATGATTTTACAAACATGCCCCCTTATAAATTTACTGTATTCTATAGTTGGTCATGACAGATAAAAAAACCTAAAGAATTACATACTTCCTTTTTTTTAGTGCATCACTTTTTTTTTTTTTGCATCATTTCCATCTATAGTAACTTTCTACGTTATTTTATAATTTCTCACAACACGATAGGTCTCAGCTTAATACAAAGTACCAATTTATCTAACAATTAGAGAGAAAATGGATATAATTTGTTTCAAAATAAAAGGATTGGAGCAATAATGACAAGTCTTGACACGACTTGCCCTATTTTAATTTTAATGTGATACGCTCTGTCCGTCCCTAAGTATTTAAGGGTATGTTTTATTCACTTGATTTCACTTATGTGAACTTATATGATACTGTCTGAAACATACTAGAGGTTGTCTGAATTTCCCCAAATGGAGATCGGTCCGTTTTTGAACAATCCTAAAGGCATGGAGTTGTTATTCCGGTAGGATTGGGGTTTTTTCGATGGGTTTTAGGCACGAATTGTAGTAGGGGTCTGGTGGCCTATTACGGGGTATTTTGTTTTATTTTATGGATTAATTACGTGTTAACTTGTGTCAAAGTTGTTGTATCAAGTTGTTGAACAATTGTTGACCAGTTGCACCTATTAAAAGTAAGCGCAAATAAAATTTAGTTATTCAATAATAAAGAAAAGTAGTGATTAATAAGTGTCCTAATAAGTATTGTATAATTTTAATTTTTTTTACTGAATTAGTATTGTGTAATAATCCCTCCATTTTTTAAAACTTGCTCCATTTTCAATTTCGACCGTTTTAAAATAGTTACCCCATTTCCTATTTTCTTATTTGAAAACAATATTTAATTCATTTCTCTCAACATAAATCATACTTTTACCCCTTTTTCATCATAATAACAAAATATCGGAGGGTTTATTCCGATAATCCTCCAATCCAAATAAAGCAATCTTTTTAGGAGGATGTTGTTGGGGCGGCCCTTCCTCGTTTTTATGTTTGTTTCGGGCATAAAAATGGACCTAAATTATTTCGCTCCCTCTTTATTCAAAAATGATGAACCCAAAATTGCTTCCAAATCGATTGCTCGAATTTCCCAAATTGATTGCTGCTTGATTTTCTCACAAATTGCTTGCTACTCGAATCATCACACATTGATTGGCTAATTTCGGCTCGAATTGCATCCTATTGATACGAAACCCAAACCGAATGTCTCAGGTATCAATTTCCTTATTATAGGTTGATTTTTTTTTAATTAATTTTTAATTTTTTTTTTTAATCAAACTGGAGAAATTGTGCGATTAAGCTTTCATAATTTGTTGATTTCTCGAAATCGGCGCTCTTAAATTTTTGATTTGCTGCTTTGACTGTTGTTATATTTGATCTGTCGATTGTTAGTTTAGCTAATTTTATCAGTGTGCAACATTTATTGGTTAATGCGATGAATTTTGCTATGGATGTGCGATTAGTAATTAATTTTGTGCGATTTGTGATATTCATATTCATATATCTAAAGCCAATCAAGCACTATTCCTTAGTTTTATGTTTTCCTATCTTGCTTTACTAATTGCAGGTTTAATCAAGCAATATTCTTTAGCTTTTGATTACAATGGATTTATGAAAATAGCGCAATTATTGTTTGTACTTAATTGCTGTCAAGTAGCAGAAAGTTTTGCAATTTGGATTACAATGGATTTATGAAATAGCACAATTAGTATTTGGAAAGTTCTAAAGGTTCTATTACTTTTTGCTACATCAGTAGGATTTTGCCTCTAGATCTTAGTTATTTATTGGTCAATGCGATGGATTTTTTTTTTTTTTTTTTTTTTTTTTTTTTTTTTTTTATGTATGGCGAATAGTAATTACTTTTGTGGGATTTGTGAGGTTCATATTCATGTTGGGTGTTTATCAGGTAAGCGTGCCATCTTCCCCAATCGCGATGCCGAACCCTACCCCTAATACAGTGGTATTAGCCCCCCGCATTAGAGTGGATTTTGTAGTAATTGGATCTTATAGCTCAGGAATTAGCCCAGAAAGGATTATTAAATCCATCTTAATGCATTCAAATGGGAGAGGATTTGATGCGGATGTCAAGCTTTCTGAGAAGAATATTAAGGTGGAACGGTTACCTTCCGAATATCGGTGGAGGAATAAGGATGTTTTGATGAGAAAAGCTCAAGGAAGTGTGTTTTTCAGAGATCTGACATTCATGGATGAATTGAAACACATAATTGGTGACTCCAAAGGTCAAGAAAAGCTGAGGAAGGTTAGGGAATTTCTTAGGGGGAGAATGTCCACCTTCAAAATGTTTTATGCAGTTACACGTATCGGTGTTACTTTTAAGATTCGAGCATTTTCGCCTGTTTTTGAGGATGTTGAACAAATGATGGCACGGCATTTTGATGATAAATCTATGCCACCAGCTATTGTTGTTAAGGGTGTGCCATGTTAATGGTTTGCTGACCACAATCAGGACTCCTCCCAACCATCAAAGGACCGCCTACGTTCCTTTTTTGGGACTTTGGGGTTAATCAGGTACTCACTTACTTGAATATGTATACCAATAATATCATTTCAATTATGATTTATTGATTATTATATACCAAGTAGACATTTATTTTTCTGTGGTTATTAATCTTGATTCATTAATTGATGTTGTTGTTTAACTGGTAGAAATCGTGACATCCTAGTAGCAAACGTGCTTTATGTTGTCTTCTGTTTTTTTTGAGCTTATTATGTATTATCTTGATGAATTGTGCTTAAATGCCTTCTTGTGTCAACCCAAAATATTGACTACTGTTTGTTTTTCTTTTTCCACTATTTTAGTATTTTTATATGATAATTTACCTCAAGTTAGGGAAATTCTTACCCTTGTATGGCGCAAGGATGGATGTTACTTGTACAACATATATCTTCTATGTTAGATAAAGTAATAAAGCTAATTTAAGTGTGTTTTTTTTGGTTGTGTGTAAAATGAAGTTAGTCAAATTTTTTTTTTAAGGCCAAATTTGTGCAAGGATTGGGAGTCTGTGCATGGTGCAAAGCTAAGACAAGCTCCCTTAAGTTAGCCATAGAATTAAGGTATTTGGCGTTTTATTCTGTTATAATTTATTCACATATGTGATTTTTGTTTGCTATAAAATATACTTGTAGGAATCTTGATACGAGTGTGAATGATGCTGATGCAAAATATTGCAATGTCACTATACAATTTGCCAACTATGAGGAATGTCACAAGGCATTGGAACAATTGTGCTCCTTCTCTTTAAGAAGGGTAACTATCTTTAATTACCAATATTATTGATGCTAAGTGTCATCTCCAGCATATTAATAAGAGATGAAATGCTGCATTCCTTCAATAATAAACAAAAGACATTATTGCTTAAAGGTGACTATCGTGGAATTATAGGTAAAGGAGAATGGTGGTTTCGAAGAAGCCGACTATGAAGTTAGCTGGAAGGACTCTGTTTCTGTTTCTCAGCAGGAGTATGATTTGGCGCCAGTTAGTGAGGATATTTCCGAGTTAAAGGTTCTGAAGCACCAAATGGAAGTGATGCAAGAGCAGATGAAGAAATTGGAAGCCAAACTCAATATTCTTGAGGCTAAAGGGGATTAACATAAGGGTCGTACGTGTGCCATAGAGAAATTGGATCATTTGGAATGGGTTTTAGAATCCATTCACCTTTTTTTTTTTTTTTTTTTTTTTCATACCACCTCCCCTCGATTCACAATCCATTCTTTTAATGAAGTATATAATCCATTTTAACAATAAAACCAAACAACTTTAGACTAGTATGAGTTTTAGAATCCATACCTTTAGTATAATTTTTAATACAGTAGTTATTAGGCTATTTTTCTATGGCACATGAACTCGATCTATTTCTATATTTTGTACTAGTAATAATATATCCTCCACAAGCTAAGGTACTCCAATATGAACATTGCCATACTTATTTCTCAATATTTAATCCAAGTTTGATTTTAAATCTAGTTAGTAAAATGTTGATTAACAGGTTGTTTAATTACTAAAATCCCACGAAGTTGAATAGCTAATTTGTATTATATAATTTCAATTATTGGCTCCGCTCGATTTTATGATCACCTCTATGTTAATTGTCTCGCTTTCTCTCCCATTCAAAAGTGATGAACCCTGAATTCCTCCAAATTGATTGCTCTTAAATCTTTAATTTTGTTGCTTTTAATGTTGTAATTTGTTTTGAGGATTGTAAGTCCATCTTCCCCAATGCCAATGATGAACCCTAACCCTAATACAGTGGTATTAGAGTGGATTTTGTAGTAATGGGTCCTTGTAACAGAATAGTTGACCCAGAAGATATCATTGATAAGGTTGTGATGCTTTATGAGAAGAATATCAAGCTGGAGATGGTACCATCCAAAATTCAGATTTCGAATAATGATCGTTGGGTGAAAAGAGCTCAAGGAAGTGTGTTTTTCATAGATCTGACATTCATGGATGAATTGAAACCATAATATCATTTCAATTATGATTAATTGATTATTACATACCAAGTATATAATAAGACAATGTCGATTCAAATTGATGCATAATTAGTGTAATCAAGTTTTCCAACATTTTTCTCGTAATTCTATTGTATAAAACAAGGGACAAGGGGTGAAAAGAATGTTGAGCGATATCATTCATTTGAGACAATATCTTGAGACGTAAACAGAAAATTAAGTTCAAGAATAAAATTTTTGAAAAAACAGAAAATTAAGTTCAAGAAAAAAAACTAAATAGCTCATTAAGATCAAGAGTAAAAACTAGAATGCTCGTTAATCATTTGCATATAATTCGAACAACTAAAGAGTAAATGATAGGAAAAAAAATGACTCATTAGAAATAAGTAATAAACTAGTAATTAAGATATTAGCTAGAAGAAAAACCATAATGAAAAAATTGACATTTAACTACTAATTCACATATAGACATCAGTTACATCAGTAGGAAATCAAAGTCCCTTGAACAATCACCCATCCAAGTTGCAAACTACAACAATTACAATCCATTAGAAATTAAGAATGTCATGAAATTTGAAGAGGATATACTACTACGCGGAATTACCAAATGGCAAGGCACAAAATTGGTACTAAGGGTGCATGACAGTCCACACAGGGCGTTGAGTTTGTATTTCCTCGAATATGAATAAAAGGAGATGCAGATGCATCTCATGTTAGAAACATTAGTAATTAAATTTACAAGCTACAGATTCTACGTTCTTCCGGGTAGAAGTATGACACATGCAGCAAGGTTGACAGAAGTATTACACAAATCAGCATCATTCAAGCACTTTGTCCACCACTGACGATTGTAATTCCAACTTCAGGTAGCTGAAATGCAAACTCCATCAATTTGTATAGATTAAGGTTTGTCATAAATTAAGCAAGCTAAGCTGTCCTTCCAAACAAGATCCAACGCTCACTGAACCAAGCCCATAATTGCCCTTGCGCTCCACAACAGCTAAAAATCATTCATTCTGAAACCTCAAAAACATTATACCGTGTCAACAGTCAAACAACTTTCAGCAAAACAGTCATCCCTCTGGGAATTTACAGTGTTTGGATAGAGTAAGATGAAGAAATGAGCAGAAGAGAAAGTGAGATATTCGCCTCTCCTTGTTTGGATGTGACTTGGGAGAGGCAAGGGAGGGAATTGGAGGAGTCCATTTTCCTTCCCTTTAAACAAACCAAATCCTTACAAAATTGAACGAAAAATGAAGGCTCACACCTTCCCTCCCCTCATTTCCCTTTCTGACCCCCCTCCCTCCCCCCCCCCCCCCCGGGTTCCCCTCCCTTCCCTTTCTTTCCACAATAGCTATCCAAACATAGAGTTTTGGGCACTTTATAAGGACTGTAAAGAGTAATTAGTTTCCGATACCTGACCTTGAAGTGTCTGCGCGTGATTTTCTGCAATTGCAACCCCCATAAGTTGATCTGCAAGGATCTTACATGCTTTCTCAAGCATTGCCATATATCTTCGCTCTGCATCCTGGCGTATCTGTAAGTGCTTCTCAGCCTACAGTAAGTAAACAGCAAAACAAATTGATCAACTACCTTCAACTTCTCACAGAACTGATTATTGATAGACCACAAAAGATAATTAGTCATGCAAAGAAATCAACAACTCTATGGCTTTGTTCTTTTCACTTAAGTGAAGTTAAGTTTTAAAAAGGGCTACCCAAGAAGTTTAGCTAAGTTCCAATCAATTAAACATTTTTCGGGTGTAATGAGCAAAGCCTTAATGTTGCATGCACAAGAACTGAGGAATTTACATACCTCAACCTGCAAATGTAGTTTAGTCTGCACCTCCATTTGAGTTCTCAAGGCCTCCTTAACCTTATAACCCCTTTTCAAGCCCAATTCACCATGAATGTTTGCAATATTAGATGTATAAAGAGCATAAGATCTAAGAAAGCGATAATAAATATAAAAAAGAGTAAAGATTCTCAAATTCTTACTCATCCATGTCTGATGTTGGCAAACTTGAAGAAGAATTACTCGTGCGAGGGCTCTCCAAATGGTATGAAGCTGAAATTCCTTTGTTCATTATTGTGGATGATCAGTAAAGACAAATGAGAGAAGTGTTTTTCTAAACTAATTACTTCAAATTCTAGTGGATGACCAATGTTTTAATACTTTAGCTATGGATATTCACATTAAAAGAAGTTCTAGCTATTTTACATTTGTTTTTTGTTGGGAAAGATATGTAGGATTGGGACTTGGGAGTTAAAGGACACAGATATAGAACCCCATAGAATGTGAACCATCATACTTTGTAGGTCAATGAAACATAACTAATATAATACATAGGAGACCAATTTCCAGCCACTTTGCACAAAGTTACAAATTAAATAATTGAGTTTAGCTTTAAAAAGAATGTCCTGTGTGAAAATCCATAATAATGCACGGATTTATAATGAGACATAATCTATTACTGGGAATGGATTTACATTACTTTGGACATTGACGTGAAACAATTTATACAAAATGGCGTATGAGTTCATTACTTTCCCCTTATATTCATGACCTTGTACCAAACGAGCAATCAATTTGATCAAGTTGCACTGGCAAGCTTGTTAAATGTTAATGAAAAAAAGATGAGACAATCAAGCAAGACATTTCCTTTGTATACAGGATACAAGAAAAGTAAGAAATTTGATTAGATAAAAATCTGAGGAATTTGTTTTACGGCATGGAATGTTGTATTACTTGAATATGATGCCATCTTTAATTATATAAATACTCATTTTAGTGTAACACGCACCATCTTTTGGAGCCTCAATCATATCCTTCCCCGATTGCTTACCTAATCTGTATTTCTGCCATGTAAAAATAGAAAAAAAAAAAAAAACAATCAGATACTTACCAGAAGGTTGACAATGGTTGCATAATTTAACTCTCTGAACATGTGGAGAAAATAGTTAAAGAACAAACTTAAACCTGAAGATGACTTTTCAAATGGAAAAGAGTCAATCCTTTCACACCCATTGTCCGCATTATAGCCTTAGGTGTAGCTTCTGCACAGATAAATCACATTCAAACATGCATTAGAAGATCATATGTTGACATTATTTACAACTAGCAAATGTAGACAAAACCAATGAAGGTCTTGCTAAGAAAGCAAGGCTCCAATTTGGAAAACAAAATTGACAGGCTATAAGAAAAGCTATACATGATCAAGTAATAAATCTATAAAAAGCATTCAGAACAAAAAACTAGACATTCAATAGGAAAGCTATAAGTTATTCAGTGTAGCAGCAGCAGCAGCATTGACAACGTAATAGCCCAACATATACTCGCCATATGCCAGGTTTGGGGAGGTCCACAGGTACACAGCTTTGCCTATAGCCATGAACCAGTAGACAGACTATTTCTATAAGTAAAATTCACATAACAGTATAGCACTTCCAACAAAATTAATTATCACGCAGTTCTAAAAAAAATTCTTCGTATTAGATTGATAATATACTCCCCCCCCCCAAAAACAAAACACACACACACACATGAGGATCACCTACAAGCCATTCAAGTGAATGAAGCTTCAAAGGCATCATCATCTGTAAGAGTTTATGGTTTATAGGTCTAACCGTCTAAGTAGATAGTATGATGGATAATAGTACAAGATTACATTTGGATATGCAACACATTACATTGGCATCCCTAAAGCTCTTCGTAGCATATCAAAAAAACAAATTCAATTTCCTATTGCAAACAACTCTCAAACGCATACCAAAGATGGCATCTCATAATCACACATGTCAAAGGAAAGTCCTAACAATGTACTTCAACTTCATTATCAGCAATTCAGCATCCCTTGCTACACAAAAACTCTATGAGGCAGCATTGCAGCAAAGAGCCACAGGTTTTTTAACAATACATCAAATGGCACGGATCCATTTGACCTTCTACGAAAGCAAAATTAATCAAAATCTCTACAACAATAACTTGAAGCACTTCTTTCACCGTATCACTTTCTCCTATACATTGGGACTACCATAAAACCTTACTAATACTCTGTAAGTCCATATCCCCTCTCACTTTCGTGTACCGCACAACAGCATATGATGCCATCTTTTATCAAAACAGAATTGCAGTTAGCCTCTACGTCACATTGCCACTTATGTAGAATGGCCAACAATTTCATTAATTAGGAAATACATTATTTTACTGACCAATAAGAGGGAAGCCTAAATTGTGAAGAACATATAATTTCTCCTCAAGCATCTAGCAGGCACCCAAATTTAGAAAGAATACCCAACAAAAAAATCCACTTTTCTTGATAATCTCATACATAATTATAACAATAACCCCCTCACCTTAATTCCACCCACCCTAATCTCCAATTAATCCAATTCCACAAATGGCACTATCCAAGAACCATTTCTAGTATTAACCATGAGATCATCATATTCTATGATTCTAGGCGTTCCAACACCCAACTTACCATGTTCAGACACACTACAACAAAGTACATTAAAGTATAAACCATTTTGCACAATTAACACCAACAATGTGGATGTGAGCTAGCTTACTCGATAAAGTCTTCGGTACTTGTAACATACACAAGATCAAATCCCGTCTACATCTCTACTTTCGCGGCTAATGGCTATCTATACACCCAAAAAACCCAACATTACCACCACAATTACATTAACCCCATTAATTCCACAAAACAAAACCAACCCATTTACACAATAAATAGCATCAAACAAAAGTACAAAAAGAAACCACAATAATTACAAAACAAATAAAGGTCAAACAACTCAAAGTCATAAATGCACACCAAATCAACAATGTCATACTACTAGATACTACCCATAAAACAAAATCAGCAAAACCTTAAAAATCAAAAACCAAAAAAAAGTTAATTTATCAGATCCAAAAAGAAATTAAAAGATTAAAAACTAACTGTTGGGCCCGCCAAGCTGAGTGACAGCATCAACAAAGCGTTCATGGAGGTCAGCAGTCCACCGGAGACGCGGCTTTGGATCGGAAGTCAACACCAAACGTGGGTCCCCTGTTGCGGCGGCAGAAGTGGAAGTGGGACCCACTTGATGAATCTCATCAGTGGGACCCGCCATTACACTTAAAGACTCATGGAGTTGCTGCTGCTGCTGATGCTGAGGATTATGGTGATGGGGTTGAATAAATCTTGGATACATTTTCAATCCCAAAAAAGAAAAATTGAAAATTGAAGAAATTGAAGAACACCCAGATGAAATTAATACCCTAAAATTGAAAAAGATGGGAAATTTAAGCAAAAAGGTTGAAACTTTGAAAGTAACAGGAAAGAAAAAGGGGAGAATCTGTAAGAAGTAGTAGTAGTACTGAGAAGAGAAGCTGAGAAAGTAAGTTGGGGTTTATTTTTGCTTCTAATTTTTTTGCTTTTTAGAGGTTGAGTGAAAAGGTAAAATTGATGGGGAATTGGGGATGATTTCTTAAACAATTTTTTGGTGAAATGAGTTGTCTATTATCAAAGGACCACTATTTTTCTGTTCATGACCTGGAATTTTGGTTCTACTACAGTGTATGTGTGGTTTCTTTTGAATTTTTATTTGGGTTCTTGACTTTTTTTGTTGTGTGTTTGATTTGGTAGAACTGTAGAAGTCTTCTCTTGCTTTTCTCTCTCTTTTTTTAAAGGTCAAGTGGGATTAATGAGTTATTAGTTGCATGATTATATGTTTCAATGTTTGTATGATTACATCTTTCAAGGTTATTAATTTAATTAACTGAAACGATAATTGTTAACCTATGATAATATGGTACCGGGTGAGATTTAGAGGTCAGGGATATTATTAGAATTTGAGGATAGAAAGTAGTGATGATTTTGATTGTACTGTGTACAACGTATAACCAGTTGTACATTGAAAATTGCCACTTACAAAGTTATTGAGTAGAATTTGATCTATTTTACCTAGAGATTTGAGGTCCTTAATAATAGTAGAAAATCTATTTTACCCTAAAAAAGTCTCTATCAAATCAAAAAAACAATGTTATCATATAATTGGAATTAAAAACTTGGAATTAAGATTTCATAAATCAAACATTTCCTTACAACTCTCACAAACTAGATTCACATCATCACCCATTAAACCCAACTCACTTACTAAGAGCCTGTTCTTTTCAGCTTAATTTCAGTTCAGTTTAAGTCAGTTCAGTTCACTTTAGTTCCTAATTTCTTTCTCTCATAAACAATGCAATTTAGTTCAGCTCCAATCAGTTCAGTAAATCAGAAACATGCCTTAAATGGCTAACCTATTAGAGGTGATCAAAGATTCAAAGTTAGCCCGGTCCGATTTTGGGCAGAAATTTTTGGCCCAAAATCGAGTTGGGCCGGTCCGGCCCGAATATTTTTTGGGCGGGCTTCGGAATGCGTTTTTATGCATTTTTAGTTGATTATTTTTTGCTCTACTCGAAAAGTCCGCATGACCCGATCATTTTGGATGAGTTTAGGCATAAAATTTTCGACCCGATTTGGCCTGGCTCGAGAAGTGGGCTGCTTTTTTCCCTCGACCCGCCCTTGCCGACCCGCCCGATGATCACCTCTATAACCCATTAATGAAATCAATGCCTATGGAGGAGCGAATTCCATGAAAAATACTCGAAAACAGTACATTGCGTACTTACCCCATATTTTTATGAATATCCCTACGTATGTAGGATTCACGTTGGTCAACAAAAAACAAAAGCCTTCGTATCAAAATTATTTGGGGTCGGCTAATATGAATCTTAATTAGGATTCACGTTGGAAAAAAAAAAAAAAAAACTATTTTTTAATTTTACTACGTTTTTTTTAGGGTACGTATTTTAAAAAGCATAAATGGGAAAATGGCGGTTGAATTTCTTGTCTCAACCTTGCTTCGAAAAGATTGGAGGTAAATCAGGGAAGAAAGCAGCATTAAAGCTAGTGAAACCAGTATTAAGTGACAGAAAATCGGAGGTGAAATCTCCAAGCGTGGAAAAATTGGGGAAAATTAAGGACGATCAGGTGATGAGACGATCACCTAGGTTTTCGGGTTCAGAATCGGAGATAATCGTTGGAATTGAAGTGAAATTGGGGAAAAAGACGCCATTGAAACTGATAAAATCGGCGGAATGTAAGGAGAGTGAAGGAGAGTTGGGGACGGAATCTCCGAGCTTAGTATCGCCGGAGAATTTGAAGAAAATGGAGGAAGATAGGGTTTTGAGACGTTCGCCGAGAGGATTGCCGAGCTTATATCTGGTATGCAATTTTCTCTGTATTTTGCAAACTTTGTAAAATTTCATTTCTCTGCTTGACCTTTATACTTTGTAAATTTAGTTGCACACCATGTGTTCGTCAAAATTCCTCAATCTACTTTTCTTATTTTAAATTTATTTTTTTGCTTTGATTTATTTGTTCTTGCTGTTCAATTCTGCAATGAAAGGTAAAGGTGCTAACTTTATCAGTCTCATCGTATAACATGCTGGGTATTTAATATAAACTTCTAATTAAATGTCATGCCTATTAAGTATTCGACGAAATTCCCTTATTCCTGGGTTGTTTTTGATGTCTTAGGAACTATAAACTATGATTAAATTTGTTGATTTTCATAATTTTCTGGGTTTTTGCTATTGAATCTTTATAATTTAAACACCGTATGACCATAAACAGAGCAAGAGAAACCTGATTGATTACTTTTTATTTGTATTTTAATTTAATTACTTGTAAGAGTGGCGATCTATTGATAATATTTCAAATTCTAATTGTTTGAGTCTTTGATGATGGGCAAGAATGGAGGATATATGATTAATACACAACATCCAACATCCGTCTTTTTGCTGTAACTACCATTGTTCCATTAGTGCACATCGGCTGTTCAATGAAATTTCCATTAGAAGTCGAAAGTTGTTGAAGAATAATGGTTTCATGGGGAAGTAGGTTCATATACCTATCAACTAAGAGAACTCTTTGGAAGTTTAGAAGGGTGATTTTGAGAAAGGTACATGTTGGAACTGATGTGAACAAGTATGATTTATGTACAACACTTAATTCTTGTACAAAGATTCGAAATTCCCAATTGGGTTTGCAAATTCATGCGAAGATAATTCAGTATGGTTATGGAGATAATTTAATATTGAGTAGTGCACTTGTTGATTTTTATGCAAAGTGTTTTGGGATTGAGGATGCTAGGAGCATGTTTAATGAAATGAAGCAGCATGATGAAGTGTCATGGACATCTATTATATCGGGGTATCTACAGTATGGATGTGGAGTTGAGGCCAACTTCTTGTTCAAGAAGATGCTAACAAGCGATATTCAACCTAATTGTTTCACTTATGTTAGTGTTATTGCTGCCTGTTCTGCTGAAAAAGAACCTCTTAAACAAGGCTTACTAGTTCATGCTCATGTTATAAAGCTTGGTTTTATGGTTGACAATTTCGTGGTTAGCTCCTTGATTGATTTTTACTCAAAATGTGGGTGTGTAGATGCTGCTGTTTTGATTTTCAATGAGGCAGCAACCAGGGATAGTATTGTCTACAACTCAATGATTGCTTGTCACTGCCATAACCTCTATGTTGAAAATGCAGTCAGACTGTTTTTACGTATGAGAAATCAGGGTATTAGCTCTACAGATTTCACCATGAGCAGCATTTTGCATGCATCTGGGAGGCTATCAGTTCTCCAGGTTGGGAGGCAGGTGCATGGATTGGTAATAAAATTAGGTTCTTTGACCAATCTGTTTGTTTTGAGCTCTCTGATTGACATGTACTCAAAAAGCGGTAGCATTGATGAAGCTCGTTATGTTTTCGATCAAACAATTGAAAAGAACTATGTTTTGTGGACAAGTCTAATTTCAGGGTATGCTCAGAGTGGAAGAGCAATAGAGGCGCTAGAGCTGTTTGATCACATGTTGGGCAAAGGGTTCTTCCCTGATCATATTTGCTTTACTGCAGTTCTCAGTGCTTGTAATCATGCAGGTTTACTTGATAGAGCTGTAGAGAACTTCAAGAAGATGATAAAGGATTATGATCTGTCTCCTACAATGGATCAATATGCTTGTCTAATTGACTTGTATTCCAGACAAGGGCATATAAAAAAGGCAATGCAATTGATGGATGAGATGCCTTTTGATCCTAATTCTGTCATATTGAGTTCGCTATTGAGTTGCTGCAAAACATATGGTGCCGTGGAATTGGGAAGAGTGGTTGCTAATCAGCTCTTTGCTCTGCAGCCACAGGATTCTGCTGCATACCTAACAATGGCTCACATTTATGCTGAAGCTGGCTTATGGGATGAGGTTGCCAATATCAGAAAATTGATGAAGCCAAAAGGAGTGGAAAAGTGTGCAGCATGGAGTTGGGTTGAAGTAGATGAACATTTGAACAATTGAGTTATTCTTATTGGTACATCACGTCATTAAGCATCTCTCAACAATTTTATCTGTTCGAGCACCTTAATTTGGGAAACAAGTTCCATCCGGGAAGAATGTGAACCAATGATGTGGATCAACTCACTTCTTGCAGGGGAAGTGCAACAAGAAAGTATGAATATGATACTTGTGAATACCTAGGTACTGCCCAACTCTCAATATTATTTTTTGTTTTCTATCACTACTATGGGTTTTTTTAATCATTATTTTGTTTGTCTTCTAGGATTTATGTTAATTATCGGCTTACCTGCTAAGTGTAGTTGGAACCTCAATCCTCTAAGGTAAATCAGCTTGTCTCGAGGAGCCAATTCACCATGGTGTTGTATTTCTGTTTTGCAACATCAATCTGTAAAGAAAAACCCAGAAGAATGCAGAAGTGTGCAAGAGTGAAAGGTAATAAAAGAACACATACTTCAAATTAGGCTAATACATATGTTTCATATTTGGAATGCTAGGGGGATAGCAAGAGATGGGTTCAAGGGTAACATCAAGCAACTCATCAGAGATCATGATCCGGACATTCTCATTCTCACTGAGACAAAAGTCACTAAAATTGGCTGCGAGGAAATTGTTGAAATTCTACCCTACAACTCGAATGAAGTGCTGGACCCGGTGGGGTTTTCTGGTGGGATCCTCATCATGTGGAACTCGGGTTTCCACGACCTCTTAGTAGTCAACAAGGAGCCTCGTGCAATCCATGCTGTTGTGCAGGTACAATCACAAAAAAAAATTTCTTCTTTCAGCTATTTATGCACCTACTTCTTATCATGCTAGATTAGAATTGTGGGATGCTTTAAGATTAACTTCACAAAATAATAGCTTGCCTTGGTTGGTATGTGGGGACTTAAATGAAATTTGCAATGACCATGAAAAATGGGGGGGGGGGGGGGGGGAATAAACATCCTTTACATCAAATGAGGGCTTTTAATGATGCTATTCATGATTGTAACTTGATTGATCTAGGCTTCTCTGGTCATAAATATACCTGGTTCAATAAACAAAAGAAAAAGCCAATTCTTGAAAGATTAGATAGATTCTTAGCCACAAATGACTGGATCCAAGCATTCCCAAACTTTGTAGTTAAGCACCTAACAAGGATGTCCTCTGACCATAAAATCCCCTGCTCCTCTCCCTTGATCACAAGCCTTCCTTTCCTGGAGAAAAACCATTTAGGTTTGAGCCTTTGTGGCTGAATGAACCTGACTTCACCTCCTTCCTATCATCCAAATGGCCGTCATATACCTCCTCCTTACACCACAAGCTACAACAACTCACACCTGATCTCAGAGAATGGGCTCAGAACCTAGCCTTTAATCAGAAAAATACAAAAAATAGACTTCTTGCCAGGATCAATGGAGCCCAGTTAGCTTGCCAGAACAATCCCAATAATACCAGGCTCTTTGAACTAGAACAACACCTACAGCTGCAATTAAATGAAATCCTTGACCACGAAGAACTCTTCTGGCAGCTAGGGCTAGAACTGAGTGGTTGATTCAAGGTGACAGAAACACTACATTTTTTCATTCTACTGCTATCATCAGAGGGAATAGGAATAGAATTTTGTCCCTAAAAAATAACGTTGGTGAATGGATTGAAGAACCTGGCCAAATTCACAATCACATTCTGCAGCATTTTAAAAATCTTTTCACTTCTGAGCCTTGCTTTCCCCTCCCACCTGTGCAATCCTTTAACTCCATTGACTGCTCTCATCCAGCTACACTTTCTGAAGTTAGAGAGGCCCTTTTTTCCATTGGTGGCCTCAAAGCACCTGGCATAGATGGTTACCATGCTATTTTTTTCCAATTTTCCTGGGACACATTAAAGGATGATTGCCTCCTCTCTGTAAACCAAGTGCTCTCCTGCAAAATGGTCCCGGAATGCATGAATAGGACTGTCATATGCCTAGTTCCAAAGATTTTGTCTCCCACCCAAATTACCAGCTTTAGACCAATTAGCCTTGTTAACACCTCTTACAAGCTCATCTCAAAGATCCTAGTCAACAGGATAAGACCTCACTTGTACAACATTATTTCCCCAAACCAGAACAGTTTTCTAAAAGGTAGAGGGACTGAGGTGAACTACATTCTAGCTACTGAAATACTCCATTCTATGAGAAAAAGGAAGGGTAGCAGAGGTTTATTTGCTTTAAAGCTAGACCTTGAAAAGGCCTATGATAGGCTTGAGTGGTCTTTCATTCACCACTGCCTCCTGTTTTTTTAACTTCAACCCTTCAACTGTCTCTCTTATCATGTCCTGTATCTCCTCTGTATCCTCCAACATTCTAATAAATGGCAAGCTTTCCTCTCAGTTCTTCCCTGCTAGAGGCATAAGGCAGGGGGACCCTTTATCCCCTTATCTATTTATTCTTTGCCTGGAATTCCTTTCCAGGAAAATCCACACTGAATGTAGCCAAAACAAATGGAAGCCCTTTAGATTCAGAGGAGGGAGTGTTGCCATCTCCCACCTTCTATTTGCAGATGATGTCCTTTTATTTGGTGTAGCTGACAAAAAAACCTTACATTCCATCTCTGAAACCTTAAAAAGTTTTTGTTCTCTGTCAGGCCAGGAAATAAATGAGGATAAAAGTAAGCTTTTTTTCTCTAGAAATACACCTATGAGCTTGAGAGATGATTTTGAGCAATGTCTGAATGTTAGCTCCTCAAATGATCTAGGGACTTATCTAGGCTACCCTTTGTCTGATAAAAGACCCTCAAGAAGACAGCTTTCCTCAATCATTGACAAGTTGGGGAAAAAATTAGCAAACTGGAAGTCAAACCACTTATCTAGTGGGGGTAGACTTGTCCTTCTGAAATCCTCTATGCTTTCAGTTCCCAGGTACTTGTACTTGATGTCCTGCATCAAGCTTCCCCAATTCATTCTAGGTAAGCTGGATTCTATTTGTTCAAATTTCTTATGGGGTGGGGATACCATCAAGAGGAGAGTAACCTGGATTGCTTGGAAGAATATCTGTAAAGAAAAGGAGAATGGGGGTTTGGGGATCCTAAACAATAGTGAGATGAACCAACTAGGCCTAGCCAGATTATGCTGGATGGTGGATACTAGAGTAAACTGGCAGGGAAAGTCTTATTTGAGAAGTATGTCAAGTCCAAGAGTAGACCTACCCCATTTAATAAGGGATCTCATATATGGTCTGCTGTAGGGAAGGGTTGGGAGTTATTTAGCCATAGCCTTCACTGGGAGGTGGGAAATGGGAGAAGCATTAACTTCTGGGGGGATAGATGGTTACAAGCTGACACTGTCAGATCCCAACTCGTAGGTCCCATCCCTGAGTCAGCCACAAATTCTTGCCTGAGTGATATCCTTTCCAGCAGTAGAGTTACTCTAGAACATAAGATGGGGTTCCAGCTTTGTGACAACTTGTGGAGCAGAATCCAAAGTGTTAATTTGAATCCTAATGAGGACTACAATTTCACTGCATGGTCAAAAAAAGGGAGGTTTGACACCACCAGGGCTAGAGAGTGGCTAGTTAGTAGCAGAACACTTTCTGTTAATATGCATCTCCACCCTGACTGGGACTGGAATGCTATCTGGAACTCTAACACTTACCCAAAAATAAAAGTCTTCATGTGGCAACTAGTATGGGATAGACTCCCTACTTCCCAAAATCTTCATCTAAGAAACATCAAAAATACCAGCACCTGCCCCTTCTGCCCAAATCAAATTTCACTGAGAGCATTGACCATCTCTTCAGTTCTTGCCCCAGAGCATCTAAATTCTGGCAAAACCTTTCTCACCCATCCTCCACCCCCAAATCTGCAAATGAGAGCTCCCAGCAATGGATCCTAAGAAACCTCAAAAACAATCAACCTGCTCAAAATTCTGTTCTCTGGAGCATAACCTTCGGTTTTGCTCTTTGGTTCATTTGGAAAAGAAGGAACTCTTGGATTTTTTCAAAAACGAACACCAACATCACAACCTCTACTTCCCAGTGCCTTTGGGCTGCTAGTGAGTGGTTTTTCTCCACATCTCCACACACTAGAAATCTAGAATAGAGCCTAAATCCTATGCCTGGGAGGCCCCTCCTCAATCCTTCCTCAAAATCAATATAGATGCTTCTTTCCTTCCACACTCCAAAAGCTCTGGCTGTAAATCACCTGGGAATATGGATAGAGGGATTTCAATGGAAAGGGTTCTGTACAGATGCCAAGGATGCTGAATTAATGGCAATCAAACTTGCTCTAGACTGGATAGAAGAGAGAAGATGGAACAAATGCATTATTGAGAGTGACTGCAAATACATCATTGAGGATATTGGCCAAAATGTTCACACTACTCTAACACCAAAAACAATTGATTGCAGGCTGCAGCTCCAAAGATTACCTGAGGCCAAGCTCTTCTATGGTGAAAGAGGGAAGAACATGGTGGCTGACATCCTGGCTAGAGATGCAAGGGAGAAACTAAGTGTTTTGAATCTTCGATGTAATATTGCTGTACCCCCAGACATATGTACTAACTATCTAGCTAAAGACATTGCTACTATTTCTAGGGATTGTATTCCACAGGATGCTATTTTGTGCCAAATTTTGTGCCAAATCCAGAGGGGTAGGCAAACTTTTGTAAACAATTTAATTACTAATTAAGCCACCTTTTCCCTCCAAAAAAAAAAAAAAAAAAATATACCGCGCATGTTTGGGTTGAGTATGACATCAACTGGCACTAGTATCAACTCATCTTGTTTTGCATCCAAGTGGTGATTCTAATCATTGGATTTGTTTTATGGTATAGGTTTTAGGTTTTAATCTTTTTGGTTAACTAAATTTCATTATGGTTTTTGATTGAAGTATTACATCCCCCTCCAGAATCCCAACTCATTGTTGAAAAATCTGAAGAGAAAAATCGAGTTAAAGTAGAGCAAGTTTGCTTGTGCCCTGCACAATCAGTTTTCAATCAATGGTGCTTAATGATATGTCACTTTATAAGATCTGAATATTTATTTTCAAAGTAAAACCTCTTCTATGTTCATTGGTGAAAATTATGTACTAAGGGCCTAAGGGAATCACTGCTAGGTTCATCCATGGAAGTTGAGTGATCAGGCTAAATGGCGTAGTCTATGGACAGCAGGTGAATATTGCTCTATGAATCCTTGTTGGTCTTAAGAGACGGAAGTGGCTAAGTTAGCCAAGCTGAGTTGAGTTCAGTGTATATATTCTATCAAGCCTTTTTGAGTTGGAAGAAGGAATGTGTTTGTGAACTTATTTGTCTAAGGCCTTGTTTGGTTGACATGGGAATTAAATTCCCATAGGAAATTGTATTTCATGGGAAGTTATTTCCCTCATGAAATTCCTAGGAATTTCCTAAATTTGTTTGGTTGGCAATGTGGGAATTTAGAAATCCCATGAATTTTGATTGACCTAGGGGGGGACTAGGTAATTTACTTCCCTTGTTTTGTAGGAAGTTGAAATTCCCATGAATTTCCACTTCCCTCATTTTTGCTTTTTTGTGTCAACCAAACAACTCCTCAATTTCTCAAATCCCATGAATTTTCACTTCCCTCATTTTACATTGTCAACCAAACAACCCCGTGCTACAGCTCCTGGATCTGCTTCCAAGTGAGTACTGACTACTGAGTAATGCATATAGAATTTTGTCTTGCATTTTATCATTCTTGTGTACGATAATTTTATGCTACATTGAACAATGGAGTTGAATAATGAGTGACATGCTATTTTAAATGATGCTTCTTTGTCTAAGAGCGCACTCTCACATTTCAAAATCCGTTATCACATTGTCTTCTGAATCTCTCGTAATTAAGGATATGACATGATTTTACAAAAGACCCTTGATAATAGTAAAATCACTCATTTTTAGTAGTGATATCCAAATATGGTCATAAATCATTATGACTCCATATTATATTTGAAAGGTGACAACTTATATAGTGCAAGTACAATTTAAGATAATACACAATAATTAACTTCAGATGGGAGAAGCAATTTATCTATTTTATTATGGGTGAAAAAAAATGTGCATTACCATATAGCCCAAATAAGTGAAATCATGCTGGTGTGGTCCTGTGTTGCCTGTGCTAGATATGTACAAATGTACAAGTATATAGGATTATATCTTTTTATATTCCTGAATATATGTTTGATTGGACAATCCAATTGCACTCTGGAAAATTTTAAATTTAGCATCCTACAGTGGTTGAAACAGTCAAGAGTGATAACAGAGAATAATAATTAATACAAATTGTTTATGCATTTTTTGTGCCTGTAAATTCAATCTTTGATAACTAGTTGGTTTCATTCGATCTTAAGCTTGTGGGTACAAAGAAATTCCTTTGGTTGCTCTATTTGTTGCTCAAGGTGGTGTCTTTGTAGAGATTAAGGATTTGTTACATACTTCGTATTAAACTTTGTATTTCATTTTGGCCGATAATTTTACACTAATCTTAAGAAAAAAACAACTAATCTTGCTTCCAGTGCTTCTATTTCAAACTAAAAAGTCTTTGTATCCAAATCCTTTTCATGATTCAAAATTTACGAGAATATTTTCGTATATATTAACATTACTAAGTAATTTCATATAAATATATTGATGGAGACATAAGCTTTTTGCTATATAAAAACGGGCAATTTTTCTATGTACAACCAGTTATACCCTTGTATATGATATTATTAATAATGCTACTAATATTATTATTTTACCAATTTGTTTATGCCTTGACAGTACATGGTTAAAAATTTAGGATTGGCTATATCTTAAAATGGTACAAAGGGTTGTAAAGAGTGAAGTTTCTTATCAAGAGGTGTTGCCCTGGATCAGATAATACTTGATCAACTGTACAATTACTTTTGCCATCAAAGTAAATTAGATCTTTTTAGGGAAAAAACAAGATTGTGGGCAAGTGTATGTAAAAAGACTAGAAATGAAGAGTGGTTGCCGTACAAGATTGCTCCATCACAAACATATTCACATTCACTCCCTAGTAGTCCCTACCTTCATTCTGCCAACATAAAATCACTTGCACAATTTCACTCTTTCTCAACTCATTAAATAAAATCTTCATTTGTTGGTTCAACCACTTGACTTTTTAGCAGTAACAAATAACAATCCCTCCGCCCACAAATAATCTTCTTGTATTTCTTTCCGTATATATGATTTAAGCATTCGTTAATTCCGATTATTTTGTCTTCCACTTTCTAATATTTGGATTTTTTTTATTTTAATTGTGGGTTCTGTTCCTGCTTCTCCATCATGGGTTTTTATTTAATGAATTTTTTGTAGTACAAATAATTTAATCTATACACTTTCTTGTATCTATGTTAAGTACTATGGTGTAAGATTATTTATGTTTGGTATGTCCCCTGCTTTCTCCTTTTCAGATTTTTATAAGCAACTAAACAACACTGTCTAAGCTATCTTTTTTGCAACTTTTGTTTTCATCAGGTGATTTTTAAAATTTTGGTAATGATGCAACATTATGAGCTCCAACAGATGAATAACATGGAGACAGCCGAAAGCTCGGCGGAGCGATTTTATGTTTGCACTGAGACTACCGCTGAATCATGCACCAAGCTCTTCTCCATAAGGTACGTTATATACTCCTTCCGTCCGAAATTAATTATCACGTTCATAGCGTACCTAAATCTGGACAAGTGTTAATTGTACTGTATAATTAATCCTATTGTATACTGAAGTTTTTTGAAACTGTGAGTCTATTATATGTCCGAAAATAAGGTCTTTGCAAAATCTTGGTGTGAGACGGTTTATTATATATACTACTTCCGTTTCTTATTATTTGCAACGAAGTAATAACACTTTCGCTAGAGAAGTAGAGAGGGAGTGTATAATCAGTTAATCACTTCCAACTTGCATTATATTAGCTGTTTGAGGATCATATATTGATTTAACATGCTCTTTAATTTCAATTGGAAATTTAGAAGGTATAAGGCAAGCTGGTATAAGGGCTTGATTTTGTTAATATACTCCGTACTACGTACTCGATTCATTCTATGAACTTGTAAACAAATTACATTAAACACTCCAACAAATTGAATGTACGTGGTAAGTTTTGTTTACTGTAACCTGTTAAGTTTTCTAATTTTCACTTGGCTAAATCAATAGCATGTACTGTCTCTGAATCTATGCACTTCTTCTTGTTCTGCAACCTTTCTGTTTTGCCATTTCATCAATGTTTAGGTATTAGTTTACCAACTTCTGTAAATTCTAGCTGTTTTAATTTTTTATGAGCTGCAAGGTTAAGTGTATCACACTATTCTGATGTAATTTTCCCTGCAGACATTATGTTTATCTTTCGCGTCAAAAGAATACATTTCAGAACTGGCCATTCCAGGAGAAATACCTAAAATCGTGCCTTGAGTATGGTGTTACAAACGTGCTTCCACCTCTTGAAGCTCGAGGTGTACTTGAAAGGACAAGTATTTCATATGATGAGAGAAATGTGGCGAATGTAGGAAATGATCATGACTTAGTTGAAACAACATTATCTATGAAATCTGAACAAGTCCAGTACATAAACGAGGTCACAGCCATAAATCCTAGTGCAATATCAGCGCAAGAGGGGAATAAAACAAGGAAGTGGAGGCGTAAAATGAAGACTATGGCAGAGATTTTCGCTACTGCAAAGCGTTGCACTTTAGAAGAGGTTGATGAAATGGATGACTTAAGTTGCACTTCTGTTACAGCCCTGGATATAGACAGAGAACATAGGAGAAAAAATCAGGTTGATTTCGAGTACTTCGATTCTAAATCAGAGCTCACTGATGATGGTGCAGATTGTAATAACAGACTGTCCAAACGTATGCCAGTGTTAAAGTCTTGAAGCAGATTACCAAGTTCATCATTTAGTACAACTAATCTAATTACCAAGGTACATCAATCTCGCTTTACTAGGGTCTTGCATTTGATTTTTGTTTAGTAGTGTTCGTATTATTGTTACAGTTTAGGAAGACTTAAGTAGTAGAGTTCGTATTATTGTTACAGTTTAGGAAGACTTAAGTGTGATAATACACCAATGAGTCAGGCTAGTTGCCTCTACTTGTGCGTCTTTCCTTTGGTTCTATTGGTGAATTTGTCTGGTGTTATTTTCCTAATCAACTTTAACTAATACGAAGTAATTACTTTTTTCTTGATAGAATCGGACAAAAGGATGTAACAGGAGGGCGCGAACTTATGATTCAAAATCATCATTCGAGCTGCAGGATGCATATATATTTATGTCGAAGTGAAATACTTGATTTGAATCTCATATTGATTGTCATTTTGGGTACTGATTGTCATTGCTATTGGAGATCCGAAGATCTACGTGCAAAACATTGTGGATTTGTAGAGTTCTAGAAACAAAGGTGATGAAGTATGACTCACAATACATTTGATGGTCAAATATGTTATGCACTTATGCTGTATTTTGGTCTCATCTTCTTTGCTTAACTTTACATATAGACAAGTCATGCATACATAATATAGTCGTGCAATCGCGTATGTTAAATAATATGTACTACTTCGTACATCCCTTAACGCATCTCTAAACTTTTAAAATACCTCATACTACTACTCTTTTGGCAGAGAAAGAAGACATCAACGTAATAAAAAAGCAATACATGCATAAACTAAAGTTTTCTTGCACCTTAATTTAATTTTACATCAATGTCATCCCTGTGCCTAATTCTTGATACTATATAGTAACTTATTGACAGAATATCTATATGATTTTCCAACCCATATGATGACTAATTTCTCGAGCCAAATCGAGCAATCACATTGCATTACAAACACGGAATCCTCTATTCAAGGTCTCATTAAGTTGTGTAGGCGTAGGGAAAACTATCAACAAAAAACTTTCAAGTCCACCACAACTAATTATCTTATAAGCAATGATGTTGTACCATGGAGACTTCATCTAGTGAATATCCTAGAATCCCCTCAAGCTCACATCGTCGTGATTATTCTACTAATATTTGATCTCGCGATATCCTTTATTGAGCTCTCTTCCTCTTTAACACCAACCAAATGCAAAGATGTGGAAGGAAGAAGACTAGAAACATGGTTTCATTGGGCAGGAATTGCAATTCTAGGCCTCTTATTTTTGAAAACAATCCTTTTGTGTGTAGGGTTAGGGAGGGCATTTTTCGAGAAGCTAGGCTATGTTGTTGTAGTGGTGGCATTGGTGTTAGAGCTGGCCTTAGTGAGGGTTGGAGGAGGATTGTTGGTGGTGGTGAGCTTATGGCGAGTGGTTCGAGCCGTGGAGAGTGTGTTCGAGTTAAGTGATGATGCCATTCAAGCCAAGGTTGAGGAGGTGGTTAGTGAGTTTGTTGTGCTAAGAGAGGAAAATAAGAGGCTTTTGGACACAATTGCTGAAGAAGAGAAGATCATAGTGCAGCTTCAAGAACAGCTTGGTGGCCTTTATACACAAATGTTAACAACTTCAAATTTCTAATCTACTAGTATTGTAAATGACTTGCTTATCTTTGTACAATGGTAAATACTTTTATACATTGTTATAATGGATGCGAGAAAGACTAAAAAAAATCAACAAATACAAACACAGAGGTTCAACATTGATCACTTGTAAAGTTACAATGCAATTAGATACATCCACGAACAATCTCTAATGATTCAGATATTATGTTAACCTTAATTAAGTCCAAAAATTGTTCCATCCAAAATCAATTAATCGATGTTAAAGTTCACAATTTTACTCTCACATAACATGCATTTGATCATATTACTTTTGTCTCTTATTAATTCAACTTGATCGATAAAGGATTGAGTAACAAAGTAAAAAATAACAACGGGCAAATAATCATTGAAGATGAAGGTAGAAGCCAAAAGGTAGTATGAAAATAAGAGGTGTCAATACTTGATCCGACCAACCAAAAAAATATCTGATTAATATAATAATTTAGAATGACTCACGTTTAAAATTAGACCCGACCTGATCTCACGAACTCGATAGTCAATATGGGTTACACTAAAAAATATTTTCGACTTTTGTTATTTTGTTCTTACTTTTCCAGTATCACAATTCTACAAACATCACTACATCATTATTCAATTTAGTGAAGTCATGAATGAAGTCATAACTGCCTACAATTCTCTCATTCTCCCACATTTTAAAGGAATTATTTTTCTCCAATAAAATTGGAAACAGAAAACCCAGAAAATTCAAAATAAAATCATCAAAAATTAAAATCAATGGCAGAAGTGCAGAAGATGAAGTTGGGTTCGCAAGGGTTAGAAGTATCAGTCCAAGGACTTGGGTGTGCAGGAATAGTTCGACCACCAAAGCCAGAAGATGAGATGATTGCTCTAATTCATCATGCCATTAATTCTGGCATCACTTTTCTTGATACTTCTGATATTTATGGCCCCTTTACCAGTGAAATTCTTGTGGGAAAGGTACAATTTCTTCATTTTTTCCTTATTGTTCTTGTTAAAAATTGAGATTGATTTAGCTTTTTGCAATAATTGTGGGTTTGATTGTAGTTTTTGTATGTTAAAATTGATGGGTCTTGTTGAAAAAGCTACAATTTTTCATATTTTTGGTTGTTTTGGATGTTAATGTATCATGTAATTGGAAAATTAGTGGAGTTTGTTTGGTTGACTTTGTGGACTAGCTACTGATTCTCATCCAATTTGTTTTGTTTATATTATTTTTAGTATTTGAGATTGTTTATGCTAATTGTTTACTATTTAACCATTTTTTTGTTTTGTGGGGAGATTATTTGGAGGTTAAGCAATATTGTTAAATTTGTCTGAGAACAGGAATTAAAATGTGACACATTTTGTGCTCTTGGTTGATTAAATTTAATATTTTTAGTAGCTGTTTGCAAACCTTGATTGATGTAATTGGTATTTTGTGGCTAAGGTTTTGAACATTTATGCAGAAAAAAAAATAAAATTGATGGGTTGTTATTAGTTGGTATGATGGTTGTATATGGATACTCTATAAGTCTATATCAACATATTATGATTCCTAAGCTAGCCAAAAAAATAAATAAATTGCAAAACCCCTTATTTCGAATGCATAATCGATATCTAAGAACTCGAAGAAGATCTAGTCCTGTGGTGGCTGGGGTACAAAATTTTACACTTTTGTTTATGATTAGACTGTCTTTACTTGTACACAATATTCTGATAGAATTTTTGTGGTGAGCTTGGTGGGAAAAGCACTAAGTTCCCTCCTTTTTGTCCCCCTCTTGTAAAAGGAGACTAGTTATGATGGGAGGAGTACTTCTAGTTTGGGGGCAAGTCTCGTGGATAGGGTATTGCTTAGGCACAAAAGTTTACAATGCTATTTTACATCATGTTTGTTGAAGTTGAATATAAATTTCAACACGTTTTGCCATACATCCTCCTGCATTTTGTTGTTTATGATGATATTATTGCTAGTTTTGTTGCAGACATTAATGTTCTTGATTAATTAATCAGGCTCTAAAAGGAGGGATGAGAGAGAAGGTACAATTAGCTACCAAGTTTGGGTTAATATCAGCTGATGGTAAGATAGAGGTGCGGGGTGATCCTGCCTATGTGAGGGCTGCTTGTGAGGCTAGCTTGAAGAGACTTGATGTTGATTGCATAGACCTTTATTATCAGCATCGTGTCGATACCAGTGTTCCGATAGAAGTAACGGTTAGTATTTGAATGTCTCTAATTCATAGCCTTCCCCTATTTATACTTTAACTTTTATATTTGTTACCCGTTTACTGTTTTGCAAGAACTGAATGAGGTTCAAATTTGAGATCTCTATATATGCTATTGGACTAGTTTATTTGTAAGCTCTTCCTTTTATTATTATTATTTTTCTTAACTTATGTAAGTATGTAAGTTACACCTGCCATTGGCTCCTCTAAATTTGTGCAACTAAACTGCACTAATAATTTCCTAGGGGGATACATTTACTTGTTTAAATGAAAATGATTATTTGTTTGAGGACCTACTCTATATTGAACGGCTGAATATTATACTTGTACTAAACGTCAGTGAACTGTGACAGATACAAATGTATATTGGGAGACTTTCTTCTTCTGTGATGAATATTGGTGGTTAAGAGAATAGTGGGAGTGGGGTGGGGGGGTGGGGGGGGGGGTGGGGTTGTTGAAGCTCACCTCTGCACTCAAGTTTCAAGCATGTATTTTTGTTTTTTTATTTGGTGAATTGCTGCAAAAAATTTGGATCTTTTGTGCCAATGAACAGTCCTACTGATTTAAACCTTGTAAGATGTTACGAGTAAAATTGGTTCATCATGTTGGCTTCATTTATTAATTAAACCACAACATTCTGTTGTCTAATGCTTCATATAAATCATATTTGTTAATAATACTGTGCTGCCCTCTCTGGCTGCTGCTCCTATCATGATTCTGCTGTCCATCTTTCAGGTAGGTGAGCTCAAAAAATTGGTTGAAGAGGGAAAGATCAAGTACATTGGTCTATCAGAAGCATCTGCTACGACAATCAAAAGAGCTCATGCTGTCCACCCCATAACAGCTGTGCAGATGGAGTGGTCTTTGTGGACACGAGATTTAGAGGAAGAAATTGTGCCTACCTGCAGGTGAGTCCACTGTTACTTTTTTCTTTTAGAACTGCACAAAGTCTACTGATTATGATAAGTTTGGTGAATTCAGGAGGATCTTCCTCACCTATGGTTGGAAGTCATGGAACCATATTGTATAGTTATAATGGTTGTAAGTTGTATTTATTTATCTTAGTACATGAGCATATTGTTGATGTTGAACAGAGAACTAGGCATCGGAATTGTAGCATATAGCCCTTTAGGACGTGGATTCTTTTCATTGGGAGCCAAGGTGGTTGAAAACTTCTATGAAGGTGACTACCGAAAGGTGTGTTCAAATTTCAATGCATTTACATTAAAAAAATAGTGGCCTTCCTAGCATTTTATTATTGTGTAAACTTGCTACATTTTGAAAAAATTCCCCATCATATCCTGTTGATAGTTTTGAACAATTTTGAAAAAAGGCCTCTAGTTGGCAAATTTTCAACTTCAAATTACAATAGGCTATAGACTAAATCATATACCTCTGGCAATTGTCCCGTGTATTCAATTGCTGTGAAGTTTGAAGTTCTTAGCTGTCTTTTGACTCAAAAATCTACTAAAAACAGCCTCTTTGCAAATAGAGGATTAGACATCAAGAGCATCTTCACTATTTCTCAGGCTAGACTGTTTAGACTTTAGAATCAAGTCATTCAACTACCTTTCAAAGGCAGGAGTCATTTTAGAGGTGTTGAGGGTGATGGCTAATGGGGTAGTATATTATGGCTTTGAGCAAAGGTTTCCTTTGCAAATCTTGTAGACTATTATACATTTGTTTTGCACCGTTTGCCTTTTCATATTAATATCTGGGTGAGTAATCTTAGATTAGTGCAAATAATGATAAGAGTATTATAAGTTAGTGGAATAGTTGGCTTTTCCATCCTTTTTCTGTATTTACTATAATAGGACGAGAGAAGATGGGAGTATTAGAACTAGAACCACCATGAAAGGAACGGGAAGCTGATGTCATCACAGAAACCAAGAGTATGACATTCTGCATCCTTAAATCTTCACTGATGCTGTATGAATTGTAGAGGTTTTGGTGTTTGGCATATGTAAATCGACGGTGTTTTAATTTGGGTGTGGAAGTTGGATGTTATCAGGAGTGATTCCCTTATTATTTTCAATTTTATGTGTTCTTCTCCATTTATTACCCACTTTTTCTTTTATTGTCATTATTATATACTTCGTATATGTGTGTGCTGATAAATATTCTTGTAGAATATACCGAGGTTCCTGCCTGAAAACCTTGAGCATAACAAACACGTTTTTGAACGGGTTAGTGATATGGCTGCAAGGAAAGGGTGCACTGCATCGCAGCTCGCTCTTGCTTGGGTTCATCATCAAGGGGACGATGTCTATCCTATCCCAGGCACAAGCAAGATCAACAATCTGAACCAAAATATTGCAGCCTTGACAGTGAAACTAACACCTGATGAAATGGCTGAACTCGAGTCGTATGCTTCTGCTGATAATGTGAAGGGTGATAGAACCTGGACTAAAACCTTTTCTTGGATGGATTCAGATACCCCTCCTTTGTCTTCTTGGCAATCATCATAGAACAATCTATTGCAAAAATATGTTGTATTCTTGATTCACAGGTACAAAAGTTATAAATAATGTGTTCACTTGTTTGTATTCAAAATTCTTTATCCATCATTTTTCGAATTAGATTAACTCTAATAGGAAGTATGAAGTATAATTTAAGTCCCGTCAAAAAAAAAAAAAGTATAATTTAAGTGATTCAAAGTTTTCTCCTTTTCTCAAAACTATTTTGGGCTTCTAAAAAAATGCTATTCCTCAAGAACTCCTTGTTTGGCCCAACAATTGTTTCTCAAGCCAAGAAATGCTTCAAAAAGCTTGCCAATTATAGTCTAAGTACTTAATGATTTATTTATCTTGTTCCTTTTTATTAATCTAACTTGAATTATTGTGATAAAATTAAAGCAAGTTGGATGATATATATATATATATTTTTTTTTTCTAATTATTTTTTCTTAAAAAATTATTTTTATATCATTTGTAAAGTCATATGGGATTTGTTTTAAAGTTTTGGATTAACCTAATTAACATTCACATGCATATATACAAAAGCAAATTTGACAAATTTTAATGAGCTATCGAAGCTTGTGGTGTATTGTTAATTTGTTTAAAAATAGTATAGTGCACCCGGGTGCACCACGAACATTAGACACGTTTTGAGAAACAAGGGCGAAAAAAAAAACATATTAATGTTTGAAAAATAACATACTAGTGTTTGAAAAAGAACATAACTGTGTTTGATAAAAGAACATATTTGTGTTTGACAAAAAAATGACATTACAAAGAACTTAAAATTGTTGTATGACTTTTTCTTTAAAGAAAAAAAAAAAAAAAAACTTTAGGTTTTGGATGTATATAAACTATGTAAATCTATAAGAGTTGTACGTAACGGACAAACAATGGAGATAAGAGTTGTATATCAAGTTTGGGTTGTTGACATAAAAATTGTACTATTTGTTTTTTTTTTTTTTTTTTTTTTTTTTTTAAATGTACTCGTATTTAGTTTTGTTTTTAGAAGAAAAATGATACACGTAGTATAAAACCCTGAAGAGCTGATAACGAATGGCATTGATTTAGAACATTCTCTGTAAGAGCTACACATGAGAGGCTAAAAATAGAATGATAAACGAAATTTAACAATTAACACATCAATGGGAGGCTAAGAATAGATTAATAAACGTAATTCTACAGTGATCACATCAATCGACGTTTGTGTTTTTTGTCACATTCCTAAATTAATATTCCCGTCAATTTTTGATGATCCTTTTCGTATTCATTACAGTAGTAAATTGCAGTAATGAGAATGAAGTTTAAGTGTATTTTAGTATGGAAGACAACCTCAATCCTTAAGCACAGCTGGTGTTTTCTTCATATTTTTCCATTACCAGTTAGGAGGTAGTATTACGTGACACTGTGAGAATAACTTACTAATAAAAACAAACAATTTACGAGTCATTTTGAGTGATCATGCAATTGATTTTCTTAATAAATCTACATATAAATTTACTCTCACTACCATAGTTTATAATCGATTACCAAGCGACCCATAATACTTATTTTCAAGCTTAAGGGTTGCATATATTATTAATACTCGTAATTTCAAAATGATTGTTATTATTGAAACTATTATCCCCGTTGTAGTAGGTGGGGTGACGTTATTGTATGTTTCTAATTTCTCTATTAAAGCCGAATTTGCAATAATACAAGATGATCAAGGACCAAGATTAGTAATCACATTTAAAGCTGAAATTTCAGGCTCAAGCATTAAATTGGACGACTATTTTAGCTAATTGGAGCTTTCATTCAAAATTAATTACGCCATTTTTATGTAGGGTCATCTTGCTTTAAATTTTTAATTTATGGCTTTAAATTTTGGATTGATCCCTCTCTCACCACATGCATGCAATCGTACGTAATTAACGTTTATAGGGTCCATTATCATTAACATAAACGTATATCATATAAAAAAAAAATCATAATATATAATAAGCTTAATTCAATTCATCAATTAGAAACTAATTTAAAGAAAAATTACAGCATTTTTTTACAACTTGCAAGAGCTGCTCGATCTCCTCCTAATTAACATGTTTATTGTTAATAATCATGCGTTACAATTCATAATTTATGTAGCTTAAACTATATATAATTACTACTTTAGGCTAATTAATTTTGCATACACCATAATTCATTAGAAAATAGATGGTAGCCGCAAAATTTCTTGAGCTACTTGACGAGATGTAGTAGATTCATCCAAAAGCCATTTCTCTAGAAATGTTAACGGAGGATTATTTCCATCGTCGTCATCAATGTAATCCATGTTTTCGTGTACCTTTACACCTTCGTTAGAATCCTCCTCAGTAGAGTCGTCACAAGCAGTAGTAGTAGTAGTGACCATGCCAACCTTATTATCACTATTAAGGTTGTCAAACGACAACATTGACTCGAATTGATCATCTTCTTCGTCACCAACACATCCATCATGAGCAATATCATTATTATCATTATTGTTGTTGTTATCGTCGTCGTTGTTGTCGTCGTGATTGTTACCAACTTCCAACTTATGTTTGGAAGTTGGTGAACACTTCATCCAACTTTCGAGAAGCCTTGAGATGTTCTCGGTGCTCGAGGCATAACAAGTTGATGATGAGGATGGTGGTTGTGGTGGTGTTACCATATTGTTGCGATCAGCACTATTATTCTCGTAGTTATTATTATGATTATGATTATTGTCGTCGTTGATGGATTTGTTATTGTGTAGAGAAGATGAGGTTAGAGGATTTTGTGGCTCTTGATGAAAAGATGATTGAAACCTCTTAAGTTTCTTCTTCAAGTGGGTGTTCCAATAGTTCTTGATGTCATTATCTGTTCTTTGTGGAAGATAAGAAGCAATTGCAGCCCATCTTAAACATAAAATGATAAACGAAATAAATAAATTATTTGGTACAATCACAATTTATATATGAATAAAGTTTTCATCAAATTAAAAAAAATAAAATGTTTAGGGTTAGAAAATTACTTGTTACCCAATAATGCTTGTAAATGGATAATCATTCCTTCTTCATGAGAAGTAAAGTTGCCTCGTTTAATTCCTGGCCTAAGATAATTCGTCCATCTTAACCTACAACTCTTGCTGCACCTTTGCAACCCTTTTACAAAATGTACAATAATATTTACATAAATTTATGAAATATAAGAAACTATAGAATATGATGACAATGAGGTAAAAAAAAAAAAAAAAAAAAAAAAAAAAAACCCTACTTTTGATGATAAGGTTCGGTCCAAAAGCATAAAATGAACTCGAAAAATTGAAATATTCATAGATCAGGATAATCTCAACCGAGTTTTATTTTATTTCTTACTCCTAATAACAAATAAAAATATGTACCTGTATTGGTAGGTACAGATCTCCAGTTTCCCGGACCATGTTCTTGAATGTACGAAACGAGAATGATATCTTCTTCGGGGGTCCAAGGGCCTTTCTTGATGCCATCTTTGTCACAGCAAGGTGGTCTTCCCATGGCTAGCTTAGCTAAGCTCTCAGCTCGTTGGATGTGTTAATTAGGTTTATTTTCTCTATGTAACTTATTATAGTATACAAGAGAAGTATAGTAGTGATAGCTAATTCTAAGAAGTTCATGAAAAAGTGACATCAACTGCCAACTATAAAGTGGCAATAAAGTTAGGGAAACTTTAATTTCCCATTGATCTACCCGTGCTGACTCACTTGACCTCTAATAACTTTATAGTAGGAGTATTAAATTTATAGTGAGTCAATCATTTAATACTAATAAAGTCAAAAGGTAAAGTTGTTTAATTAATCACTTCATGGACTTATCTCACTCTTTTACTTATTTGGTTTATTTTAATAATTTATTTCTTCGTTTTTTTAGCTGATACATTTCTTTTATTACATTTGTGATTTGTCAATATAAAAGTGCAAAATTCATATTCTTACTATCATTAATTATCAATTAGTAAATATTAGTAAATATTGTTAAACACAAAGTCTTATATGTGGCTGGTCACACCATGTGGCTGGGGTTACTTCGTTAGTATAATAGGGGTTACTTGGTCAGTGTTAAAGGGGTTAGTTTGTCAGTGCAATAGGGTTACTCGATTAGTGTTATAGTGGTAATTTAGTTAGTTTTACAAGGGTTATTTGGTCAGTTTTATATGTGTTACTTTGTTATTTTATAAGCGGTCACACGGTATGGCTGACCATATACAAGACGAGGTGATTATAAAAAGCTCAATACTTTGGAATATAGTGAGACGATTCTAACAAACTTTTACTTAGAAATATGCTTTCTAATCAATAAACTACAAAAACTAATTAAAGTAGAGTTTGTCAATAACAACAATAGTTGAAATATCTATTTATATATATATATATATAAATAATAATAAAAAAAAGAATGAAGAAAATATTATTTTTGTTTAGATATTTTTTTTCTTTTGAGGGGGGCAAATTATATTCACATGATGCATGAGAATGTCAGCTTTAATTTATATGGCCTTCCTAAAACAGAGGAAGACATGATTCAACTTATCACCTTCCTCGATACTAATGAGATTTCTCCTTGGCAAGGTAATTGAAATTCGAACATACACTCATTTTTTAACTACTTAATTAGAGACAATGTGAACAATATACTTAGCCAATTTGACTCGTTTTAATCACAACATGTTTGTAGGAAAGCAAATATTTGTGCAAACTATATAATCTCACGAGAAAAGTACACTTGACACTTTGACAGCCAAACAACATGCAAGATCGACATGGATTCTTATTAGATAGACGACAAATTTCTTATTTTATTATTTTTGACAAGTTAGGCTGCAGTTTTGAGAGAAGACTAATTTATTTTTTATTGTGTATCTCTATTTTCTTTATTTTATTTAAAAAAAATACACATATATTTGAACTTTGATATATATATTGGAACTTTATGTTGTCAATTTTTAGATAATTTATTTATGCCAATGAAATTCCCGTTGAGACGAACAAAAATATCTTTTAGAAACAGATACATCCCCTAATGTACCTTACATATCCCGTAATGTACCTTACAACGAGTGATACATCCCGTAATGTACCTTACATCTAGTGATTATATTTGTTGTTACTTTCGTGCTTTGAGTGACAAGTTTCATTCATATGTACCTTACTCTAGTACGTACCAACAAAATGATCAATTAAAACATGATCCCCAAATTCAACCCTTGATAACAAATCCATCTCTTGGTAGGGACAAAGGGAGTAATCTCTCTTCACTTCTTGTTTATTTGCCCCCACAAAAGTCTTTGTAGGTTGAATTCTTTGAATTCATACTTCCCAATCCCCTACAATATCGACACTGCATTACATAAGTGGGGATATCTTATTGAAATATCGAGTCCCCCCTATTATAATGCATGTTTGCCTCATTCATTTATTATTTTATGATCTCTAAGAAATAATGATCGACTGTTAATTATTTTACTATGTCTTAGGGCCTGTTCAATTTAGCTTAATTTCAATTCAGTACATTCAACTCTTAATTTCCTTCTCTCATAAAATATTCATTTCAGTCAAGCTCAATTCAGTTCAGCTCAGCTCAATTAAGTAAATGTGAAGAGGCCCTAGTAGCAACTAGACCTTGTTATTAGGTAGATCATTGTAGGTCAATTGTGGGTCGGATCACATTTTATAGGGTCAATAGCGGGTTGGACCAATGCGGGTTGTGGGTCAATAGCGGTTTGATAATGGACGGGCCAACATAATAATAATTAAATGAACAAGCCATTAGCAAGTATATATGAATACAAATTTATCTATGTAATTACTTTTACTTTATCTACTAGTATTATGTTTGTCTATTAAATTGGAAAAATATTTTGGACTTATATTGACCCTACCAAATAAGGGTCTTGTCCGTTAAAGGCATTGTCCATTAAAACCCTTTAAAACTGGCCCTGACTCTATTACCATTAGGTTACCCTACGCAATAACCAGTTCTAATAGCAACATAGAAAAATAGGTAGATACGGAGTATGAAATTACATGCATGCTATGATGAGTGTAACAAGATTCAATGGGATTATTCTTTTTAATAACTGAATCAGAATGTGTGGTCAAACTTTATGAAGTTTGACTCTTAAAATGCAAGTGAAGCAAGGGCAAAGGCATCGGAGTATAGATCTAGTGACTGAGTGACATAACTACATAAGCTTGATCTTCTCAACCATGGATGATGAATTGTTTTAATTGCTCCTTTGAAGCACAACTTAACATTATACACTATTATTGCTTCGATCAATAAATTAAAACAAAATTGTTCATCCTTACAAGATTAATACAAATTAATGAACAATCTTCTTATTATATTGGTTAATTACAAATTACATGTAACAAGATTGTATGTAGCCAATTATTGTAAATATTACCGTGTCATATACTTCCTATATTTATATTTAGTCGTAACAATTTGACTAAGTGTTTGGTTACATCATGGTCTCGAGTTTTGTAAACAACCTGCTTCTTGTAGCTTAGCATGCGTAGGATCTCAATATTAATATGCGTACACGGGTGTTAAACTACTGCTCTAATACTCCCATGCTATAGTGAATTTCTATGAAATTTGGGCAGGAAAAGTATCTCTTTTGAACTCCAATAATTGATCGATACTTCATGCTTAAGGTTAATTAATATTTGTATGTTAAATATTAATTACAGCAAAGGAATATTATTTGTGAGACATAAAATATTACTTAACTGCAACAAAGGAGCAATATTTAGCGGAGGAAGTAGTACTTGTTTGATTGCTATTCCATTTTGGTCCCTAAATATCAATTGGGCCATCAAGCCCAATAAGTCAAGTTTCTAAATCTACATAACTAGCCCAAAGGCATGTCAAAGTCCATAGAAGAGGCCCATGTGCTCACAACTTGACACGTGTCCAAGGGCCCCACACTACCCGATGGGTATAAATTCCCCAAATTCCACCATAATAAGGTATTATTAGCCACAAGCACTATTTCTTGCACAAGCTCTATTACACTCTCTCCATTGAAGTAATTTAGTACTGACTTAGGCATTGGAGGGGAGATCATCGGACACCCCGAGGCTAGTTTATGTGCTCTTCTTGTGCAGAAAAACTTTGGTCCGAGTTGACCGCCCAAGTTGTGTCTTCAACCCTTTGACTAAGGATCGATCGATCAAGGTCCACATTGTTTTACCCGAAACAATACTTATTGATAATTTGTGTTAGAAAATTAACAACGAACGAATCATTGTCCTCCCATGCATCTTTTTACATGTTTGACTGACCATTCCAATGAACAAATCAATTTGGCTTACCATATTTTAAAATATACTTTTATGCTGCTAGTCTCCAAATATGACATTTTTCAACAATTCAACGACAATTATTAAAAAGATAATATACTTCTTTCAAAAAAATAAAGAAGATAATATACTACTATATCTTAATATTGTAAAGTTAATCAATTGACTGCCTTTTATCATTCTTTTCTAATTTTTTATATTAATCATCTAAAATCTCCATGACTTCATCTATTACGCACAAGCAACTTTGCCTAGATTTTATGTACATTATTACACTATAAATAACACGATATAACCCCTCTAAGAAATAAATTAAACAGGTAATAACTTATCTTAGAATCTCAAAAAAAAATAACACAAGAAATGGCAGGTGTAGTTGTTAGGAAGATTAAGCTAGGTTCTCAAGGTTTAGAAGTTTCAGCTCAAGGTCTAGGATGTATGGGGATGTCTGCCTTTTATGAACCTCGAAAACCCGAGGAAGAAATGATTCAAGTTATTCATCATGCTATTAACTCCGGCATCACCTTCCTTGATACTTCCGACATGTATGGACCTCATACCAATGAGATTCTCCTTGGCAAGGTACTAGCTAGTTGCTACATACATACTTAATTGAGATATTGATATATGTTTAAAATTCTATTGTGTATATATGGTAAACACGAGTTTTTGTGTTAGCTTAACAAATCATTTTGAGACTTCTTGGGCCTGTTCTCATTGATTGAAATGAACTGAACTGAACTGAACTTATTAGAGCTGAACTGAATTGAACTAAAAATAATCTAATGAGAACAGAGGCTTTGTTCTTGTTTTGGTGGTGAATTTTATTTGCATTGTTACATAATTTGATATGTGGATTTTCTATAAACTAGTACGTGTTAATATTATTTTTATGGGTGATCTGATCTATCGAGTAATGCTAAATTATTAGTGTTAATTGGCATAAATAAACTTGTATGCGTACTTTGTGATTGTGGATGTTGGGGGGTTTACTAAGCCTTTTGCTACCTTGAATATTCTTGTGAATTGAACAGGCATTAAAAGGAGAATGGAGAGAAAAAGTGGAGTTGGCTACGAAATTTGGCATTAACGTTGTTGATACAAAAATGGAAATCCGAGGTGATCCTGCATATGTAAGGGCTGCCTGTGAAGGAAGCTTGAAGCGGCTTGGTGTTGATTGTATCGACCTCTATTATCAACATCGTGTTGATACCAAAGTCCCCATTGAAATCACGGTTAGTTCATTTGCACCATCGTGCTACCATTACATTATATAAGGCCTAATATATATAATTTTTGAGGTAACTTAAAAATATGCCACAATACATACCTTATCAGAACTTGATGTGTTCATGTGTACTAAGTGGATCATTGTAAAAGTTTGTTATAATTTCTTCGTAAATAATTTCAGATGGGAGAACTAAAGAAATTAGTTGAAGAGGGTAAAATTAAGTACATTGGTTTGTCTGAGGTAACTGCTTCGACTATCAGAAGAGCACACGCAGTCCACCCGATAACAGCAATTCAGCTGGAATGGTCATTGTGGACTAGAGATGTGGAGGAAGAAATTATTCCTACCTGCAGGTAAGAATTTTGCATAATTATCTCTTAAAAAAAATGTAAAATCCTTAAATATTTCCAAATAAAATTTTGTCATGTCATTACTTAGGGAACTTGGGATCGGAATTGTATGTTACAGTCCTCTAGGAAGAGGCTTTCTCTCTTCAGGGCCTAAGATGGTTCAGAGCCTTTCAAAGGAGGATGCCCGACTACAGGTATGAACGCGTAATTCCATGTTGAATTCAAGTCGTTCTAACTTCATATGAATTTTCATGTAAAATGTAATTTCATTATGTCTGTTAGATGCAAATTTGCATATGCTAGTCCTGCAGCACATTTTCTCCTGTATCACGTAATATTTAGCAGCATATCAGTTTTATGTTGATCTGTTGTATTATTTCCTCTGTTTCAGTTATTTCCAAGATTCCATCCAGAAAATCTTGAGCATAACAAACACATCTTTGAACGAGTTACTAATATGGCGGTGAAAAAAGGATGTACCCCTGCACAACTAGCACTTGCTTGGATCCATCACCAAGGAGATGATGTTTGTCCAATCCCCGGAACTACTAAGACTGAGAACCTCAAACAGAACATTGGCGCGTTGTCTGTGAAGCTAAGCCCCGAGGATATGACTGAGCTCGAACACCTTGCCTCTGAGGATAGTGTTAAGGGTGATCGATATGTAGCTGGAATTGCTACTTGGAAGACCTATGATACTCCACCTTTGTCTTCATGGAAATCTGAAAACTGAAAAACATAAAGATGGTACTTGGATTGAGACTTCAGAGTGTTGCATTGGTTTTAATTAAATTCCTTTTTAATTTTTTTGTGTGCCGGTTTTTTTTTTACACAATTGTGTATCAATTTTGTGTAATGTTAAGAGTGATATATGTCAGCGAGTTAGAATAAATGACTTATATTATGTTAGTCACTTTTTTTTTTGAATAGTATTATGTTAGTCACTTTTTTTGAATAGTATTATGTTAGTCACTTGATACTTAATACGATTATTTATAAAATTATTGAATTTTTTTGTTTGAAAAAAATGTCCCCAAGAGATGGTATATATGTGGTAACTCATGCTAGCTCTTTTAAGTTGTGACCTTAATGGTGTAACTCATTCAATTTCCAAATGTTTATGTTTTTCAAAGTTCAGATATTGATCGATTTATCTATTTCTTGTTTTTATTTTTATTTTTTAGAAACATTTTTATTTTCCAGTTGTGTGTGCTTTTGTTTCTTATTGTAATTTGTATCAATATATATCTTTTGCCTTAACAAAAAGAATTGATTTTCATGAAAATTTCATTGGTTGATTTATTGCGAGGCCACCCTAGTCAATCAAGCTGATTGATGAAGCATTTTAAATCAGTCCCTTTTTGTGGGCTAGCTTTACAATATAGTACATTTTTTATCATTTTTTTTTTAATAAAAACCCTTAAATTTAGCATCACAATTTAGAAATGACGAACTATCATCATCTCCTATAAATTAACTTTTTGCTTATTGTAGGTTATAATATACTCATATGTACCTTCATCTAAAATATTAATCACCAAATTTGACATTTCAACGATGGTAAAAAGACTATATTGTAAAGTTGATCACTTAATCAATTGCTATTGTCTTCTTTTTCCTTGCATTATACTAACTGATAATCTCTATGACATCATGTATTACGCACAACTTTTTCTACTTCGTAGATATTTAGTCCATTTTACTAATTGAATTTTATAAATAACATGCATTATATTACCCTACCTAGAATTAAAACAAGAAATACATGACTTCATCTCCAATCTCCATGACTTCATCTATTACGCACAACTTTGACTATTATTTCTGCACCTTATATTATTACACTATAAATAACTCTTAAGAAAAATATTAAACAAATAATTAACCTATCAAAGAAACTCAAAAAAAAATAACATAAAAATTAATGGCAGGTGCTGTTAGGAAGATTAAGTTAGGCTCTCAAGGCTTAGAAGTTTCTGCTCAAGGTCTAGGATGTATGGGGATGTCTGCTTTTTACGGGCCTCCGAAACCCGATGAAGAAATGATTGAAGTTATCCACCATGCTATCAACTCCGGCATTACGTTCCTTGATACATCCGACGTGTATGGACCACATACTAATGAGATTCTCCTTGGCAAGGTATGTACGTAGTAGTAGGCATAAATAAATTATTCTTGTATTGTGTGATTATAGACTACTTAAATAATAATCTTGTGAAATGAGCAGGCATTAAAAGGAGAATGGAGAGAAAAAGTGGAATTGGCTACGAAATTTGGCCTTAACAACGTTGGTGATCCAATTCATCCAAAGATGGAAATTCGAGGTGACCCTGCATATGTAAGGGCTGCCTGTGAAGCTAGCTTGAAGCGGCTTGGTGTTGATTGTATCGACCTCTATTATCAACATCGTGTTGATACCAATGTTCCCATTGAAATCACGGTTAGTTCATTTGCACTATGTGCTATAAATGCTAATGCTACCATTTCATAATATAAGTCCTATTTTTATTCTTCTCATCATCATTTGTCACAAATAATTTCAGATTGGAGCACTAAAAAAATTAGTTGAAGAGGGTAAAATTAAGTACATTGGTTTGTCTGAGGTACCTGCATCGACGATCAGAAGAGCACACGCAGTCCACCCGATAACAGCAGTTCAGCTAGAATGGTCGTTGTGGACTAGAGATGTGGAGGAAGAAATTGTTCCAACTTGCAGGTGAGAATTTTCCCTTAAAAAATGTATGTAGTGTCCTTAAATATTATGAAATCTAACTTTGTCATTACATTACCTTAGGGAACTTGGGATTGGAATTGTATGTTACAGTCCTCTAGGATGTGGCTTTCTCTCTTCAGGGCCTAAGATGGTTCAGAGCCTTTCAAAAGAGGACGCCCGAATGCAGGTATGAACGCATAATTCTATGTGAGTTGTGACTAATTTCATTGTCGTTCTAACTTTGCATAAGATAATCCTGCAGACCTGCAGAAGATTTATGATCTCTTCTCCTGTATCGCGAAATGTTTAGCAGTACATCAGTTTTAGTGTATTCCTAGCCTGTTACCCCATGTTGATCTGCTTTATTACATCTTCTATTTCAGTTTTTACCAAGATTCAATCTAGAAAATCTTGAGCACAACAAACACATCTTTGAACGGGTTACTGATATGGCGGTGAAAAAAGGATGTACCCCTGCACAACTAGCATTGGCTTGGCTCCATCACCAGGGAGATGATGTGTGTCCAATCCCAGGAACTACTAAGATTGAGAACCTCAAACAGAACATTGGCGCGTTGTCTGTGGATTTAAGCCCCGAGGATATGGCTGAGCTAGAACACCTTGTCTCTGAGGATAGTGTTAAGGGTGATCGATATGTGGCTGCAATTGCTACTTGGAAGACCTATGATACTCCACCTTTGTCTTCATGGAAAACTGAAACATAAAATTAAAGATGGTACATATTGTGCTTGGATTGAGACTTCAGAGTGTTGTGTTGATTAAATCCTTATTTATGTGTTGTGTGCCAGATTTGTGTAATGTTTAAAGTGATATATAAGTGAGTTTAAAGAGATGACTAATATGTTAGTCACCTGTTACTTAATACGATTATTTAATGGAATTATTTATACTTTAGTTTTAAAAATTGTCAATAGGGTTCATCATTCCTATATTTAGTCCCTTTACTATAGGGTTTTCTGTAATTATGTAGCAAAGTTACCGAAAAAAAATTATTTTTGTAACTTAATATATGCCCAAGGAGGATATGATTGAAGTTATCCACCATGTTATCAACTCTGATATCACCTTACTTGCTTTTGACATGTATGGATCTCATACCAATGAGATTCTCCTTGGCAAGGTACTAGTTTGGGATATTGTTTACATAATTATCCTTTGTAGCTTCCTATAAACCATCGCATGTTATAATACTTGTGGTGTCGGAAAAAAAAATTTTATTATGAACGAGTACTATATTGTATTTTTATCCTATTTTGGTTACTATTTCCTTCGTTTCGCGTTTGATTTAGGCACATATATTAAGGAGATGAGAGGGAGTGAGAGAGATTGAAAAAGCAAGTGGGGTAGCTTGTAAATACAAGGTAAAAAAGTTACCCCAAAAGAAAATGTGTCAACTAAAAAAAAACTTTTTAAAAAGAAATATGTGTCAACTAAAAAAAAAACGGAGGTATTACTTAAACAATGGGGGTTTGTCTGAAAAGTCCCTCAAATGATCTAATCCGTAAATCAGTATGTAAATGCAATTAAATTGTTAATACGTTAAGGTTGAACTTTAGACTTGGCTAAGGACATTTTAATGGACTTGACTTGGACCTTACAATAGTTACAAATGATCGGCCCAAAGTAAAGTCATATGGATACCCAAACAAACTCTAAACATTCTTTCACATAATCATCCCTAAATTTACAACCTACTTTGATGACCATAGTTTGCCTTGTTATATTTGTATTTTAATGACAACTTCTACCAAAAACCTTTATTGTCTATTTGTCTTGCATGGTTAAATTTAAAAACAAATCTCCATTAAAAAAAAAAAAAAAAAACGCATTAAAATGTATGATTATCTTGCTAAAATTTTATTTGTAACATAAAATTTTAAAAATCTAATTCCTCTTTTTTTTTAGTTGACACCTTTTTATTATCACGCTTGTCAACGCATGTTTTTAACGATTAATATCTCTAATTATCAACAATATAAAATTATAAAAAGTGAATATTAATAAAATATACATTAAAACGATTCAAACAAGATTTCACATGAATATGTTTTATTGTAGCTATAAACCATAAAAGCAAGTCAAAGTGTGCTGTGTGAATTGTGTAAAAGTCAAACAGTGTCAACTAAAAAAAATAAAGGTATAATATAAAATTTTAACGTATTTTACTCCCTAAATCTTGGTCAAATATATTTTGAAATCCTAATTTTTGTAACAATTTTTTTCTAAGCCATTGAATATATCACACGAGATTTCTCACAATTGCAATTTTCCCAGGAGCATATCAAACACGAAATTCAGCTAGATGATGTAAAAGTTAATTTGTTTCTTAATTTAATTTTAGGTTGATGCCAAAATAAGGTGCAAAAAGCCAAAAAGTGATTAAGTTTTGAAAATAAACCGTAACAACAGAAATAATTAATAATAAGAAAAAGAAAAGCATGACTTTCTACTTCAAATCTTCAATACACTAGTGATTTAGAGGTGTAAGTGTGTAACTTTATTAGTAGCTTACGGTTTATATTAATCTCAATTTCTCAAGACATTATTTCATCCATTTATTTAGCCGTCACGAGTTGCATACAAACATTATATTTTAGGAAAATTGGAAAATAATAATCTCACCTTTGTCTATTCTATTCAAAACAATCTCACCTTTTTGAATTCCTAGAATAATCCCACTTTTAATTCCCATCTTCTCAAAATGAGTCAGTAAATGCCTCGTTATAAGTATTAAAACGTGAACACGTAAATCGAGACATTACTTAATAAGAAAAACGAGGCATTTAATTTATTTTTTTTCCAAATCTGAGTTTAATTTGGTTCCTTGGCCAAAATAGCCCTGAAAACTTTAAACGGGACATTTTCCAACGTGCAAATCGATAAAAAAATTTAATAAATTGAGAGTGGACCCTACTAACGGAATTTTTAACGGCGGGATAACGACAAGGTTACCGTACGGAAACAAAATGTATATTGGGGTTATAATGTGGAAAATGAACGTAGAAAAGTGAATTAACAGGGTTATTATATAGAAGAACCCCAACCCCCTTTTTCTTTTTCTCTCTTCTCTCTTCTAGGGTTTTAGTTTTCTTGGCCGTTTAAGCTGAAAATAGTCTAATTTCTTCTAATTAGACTATTTTCGACCCTTTTTCTTTAATTCAATTTAGTTTTTTGTTTTCCTTTACGTTTTGTTTTTTTTGTTTTTTTTTTGTTCTCTCCTTCCGTGAGAGTCGTCTATCCCAATTTTCTTGATTTTTCCCAATTTTTTGAGATTTTGATTCTCATATATGGATGAAAATTTTATTTTTAGGGTTCTTATAATAATTGGGAAGGTGATTTGGATTCCTATGGGTATTGGATTTGTCATCAACTAATTGATCAAAACATCAGCGCGGATTGCGAAGGTTTTAACTTGGAAAGATGCAAAGACATCGAAAATCATTGCTCGCGTCAAGCTTGAAGCGGTGGAGTATGAGCTATGCCAAATTAGTTATGATTTTGTTTGTAAAAGTTATAATATTTTCTTTAAATTTGTGGTTTACAAATCTTTATTATTTAAAATGTCGTATAGCTATTATTTAATGATATTATTACTTTTCGTTAAAAAAAATGTATATTGAACAACCCAATTAACAATCCGGTTAAAGTTATTTATGGTAAACTTATGAAATTTGATAGTTAAAGTGATGCAAATATTAAAAAACGGATGGAGGAACTTGTTTTAGAAATAACTAGATCAAATCATAAACAAAAACTTTTTTATGCCCCCGGTTTACAATAATTTTATTGTGCATCGAACATTTTGTTTTGCGAAAAGTGACCTCCTTTTTTGTACAAAAGTGACCTTTTTTTCTACAAAAGTGACCCTTTTTTCTTCTACAAAAGTGTTCCATATCTTCACAAAAGTGACTTTTTTTTCACAACAGTGACCCTTTTTTTTCACAAAAGTGACCCCTTTTTTTTACACAAAAATAACCCCTTTTTTACATAAATGACTTTTTTCCCCCTCACAAAAGTGACCCTTTTTTTTCACAAAAGTGACCCCTTTTTTTCACAAAAGTAATTAAACTACGTATGCAAAACAGAGTATCAAAATCAACAAAACAAACACAAAATTAACAATAGTCATGAAAAAACAATACAATCACTCAAACAAATCAAAAGTCACCGCCGGAACCACCGTTAGCGGCACCAATCGTGCTGAAACCATTGTTGATTCCACCCTTTCCGACCATCTCACCAAGCAAAGCGACGAAAAATTTACAAAAAAAAAGAGTGCAAACACTAATCTAGAGCAGAAACATCAACATCATCAATCATCACCAGAAACCAAACTATTCTTCTTCACCATTGCAGAAACTACAAAAAATCCTAAAAATCAAAACATTAAAAATTAACAAAATTGAAAAATGAAATTGAGTAACGCAGAGAAATCAACTAACACAGTGAGAAAATGAAAATGGCCAAAAGAGGAGAGAGAAAAAACAAAAAAAGATGAAAAGTAGAGGTGAGAGAAAAAAAAAGATTGAAGAAGACAGAGAAGCAGTAGAATTAAGAGGAGAGAGAAAATACGAATTTTTTTCCTTGCCAAAATTGGGCCACCAAACTGACGTCTTCTTCCGATTTTCACTAAAATAGTGAACATCCGATTTAATGAAAAGTTTGTGAATCATTAATAGATTTGAAGCTTAAAACATATAAGAGGATCAAATCAAACCAAAAACCAAACCAAATCGAATCTTATCTTATACAGAGTATTTTACTACTCCGTAATGAATATCTCTATATTTTATCTTATCTTACATTTATCTTATCTTATCTTATATATATATATATATATATATATATATATATATATATATATATATATATATATATATATATATATATATATATCAAATCAGACCAAATCGAATCGAATCTTATCATTACTGTTGAATATTTCTGTTTTTATAATTTAACATATATGAAAATTTCTTATTTGGAAATTACCTTTTTAATATGTATCAATCCTATTTGATTCATATTTCCCAAAAAAAAAAAAAAAAATTGATTCGACAATTTTTTATTTTATAATTAATGTAACAATCCCATCGTGTTTAAATAAATGAAATGTTTTGACTATTTGTACTATTTATCTAATTCACTTTGACTAATGTAATTTTGTGTGCGGCTGACCACAACGTGTTGCATTGTTATTTTATTAATATTCAATTGTTATAATTTTTACTTATTGATATTTAAAGATATTATATTATTACTTGTATTATTTAAAGTGTTGCATTGACATAAGTATACAAGGAAAATGTTTATTTATTTAATCACAGAAGGGATCATACATACAGAGAGAGCAATAGTCAAAATATGGTAATCTACTACTCGTACCTTGTTTCATACTTCATAAATCGAAATCATTAAAAATAATATGAAACAGACTTTGTATATAAAAAAAGAGTATGAAAATAGATAGTGAATCTCATCAACAAAGTAAAAAAAATAATAAAAAAATCAAGTTAGTCAATTAGACCATGACTTCATCTATGATGCAATCTTCCCCCTTTTATTCATTAAAATGCTCAAATTAGCCCATCACATTATTACTACAAATACTACAGTTCACACTCAATTTACTCATTATTCTTCCCACAAAAGAGAGAATATAAAACCCAAAAAAACAGAGGAAAACAGAGAGATTTGATAGAATGGCAGAATCAAATGGTGTTAGGAGGATGAAGTTGGGTTCACAAGGTCTAGAAGTTTCTGCTCAAGGTCTAGGATGTATGGGTATGTCTGCTTTTTATGGACCTCCTAAACCAGAAGAAGATATGATCAAACTTATTCATCATGCTATTAATTCTGGCATCACTTTGCTTGATACTTCTGATATTTATGGACCTCATACCAATGAAGTTCTTCTTGGGAAGGTGATTTAATCAATACCCTTTTATTTATACTGTTAATTTAATGTCTCTAAATAGACCCAAATATCGTGTAAAGTCTACATAAAGTCATACATTTTGCATGATAGCATTGTTAATCTTTCAAATAATTCATTTCATTTCATTTCAAATAAAGTCTGCATAAAGTCATATATGAAAAATCTTCTTATATGTTAATGTTCGTTAATAATTCATTTCAAAAAAAATTAAATAAAATGCAATGGTGGAATTCTTGTCTTTTAAAACTAACGGATACTTAACGGTGTTAGTAATTAAGAATGTTTAGTACATAATTATTAATCGTATTTGTTAGGGTACATTGTTCATTCCAAACTTCATGATGCATTGTTTAAATCCTTGTCCGTTTTGTATACCCGAGTGTATGGTATATTCGGTAATTTACTCATTAATTAATTTTTGCTCATTCAATAAATGAGCAAATTACCTGGTGTATCGGGTGTACCATACACCGAGTGTATGTAACAAATTCTGATGATTTTAGGATGATTATTTATTATTTTATTTTTTTTCTGGGTCTTCGACTAATTTTAGAAATTTTAATGGTTATTTTGAGTGCCTTGTTTATTGGATGGATTTGGATATACATAATCTTTTGTTAGCAATATTGTGAATTTCTTAAAATTGATGATTTGATTGGAATTGGGGCTTATTGATGATTTTGATTGCTAATGACTGAATTGGCATGCTTGGGTTTTAATCTTGTAAATTGGGCAGGCATTAAAAGGAGGATGGATAGAGAAAGTGGAGTTGGCTTCAAAATTTGGTGTTAGATTTGTGGATGGAACAAGAGAGGTTCATGGTGAACCTGCATATGTAAGGGCTGCCTGTGAGGGAAGCTTAAAGCGGCTTGATATCGATTGCATCGACCTCTATTATCAGCATCGTGTTGATACTAACATTCCGATTGAAGTCACGGTTTGTCCATTTACTCCATCAGCTATCTAAATTAGTATTCATTATTGCTTATGATTCCAAAACGACAAAATTTTATATGTGGCTGACTCCATCGTGTGACAGGGGTTACTTGAGTTACTTGATTAGGGGTTATTCAAGTTACTCGGTCAGGGGTTACTTGAGGGGATTATTTGAAGGGTTCGCTCAGGGGTTACTCGAGGTGTTACTTGGTCAGGAGTAACTCGAGTAACCCCTGAGCAAATAAATTGAGTAACCCCGGCTAGCCACACAGAAAAATCCCCTTTTCAAAACATGTTTCATTTAATAATCATGTTTGTTCTATTGCTGTCTTGTGCATTTTTAAGTTAATATATATGGAGAGAATAGAATGTGAAAATGAAGCCTTGTCTCTTCTTTTAGATTGTTGTTGCGTCACAATGAAGTACATACTCTTAAATACATAGGTTAAGCTATCAAAATTTTAGCAGGGTAAAGGAATTGTATAGTGTATCAAATTCAACTATATGTGAATTTGCACCATTTTATTCTAAAACAGTCATTTTGAGGTGTTTAGCTATCATAATCTTAATGGAAAGACGGTGTATCAAATAAAGCTATACAAAAAATTGAAGCACTTTCTTCTAAACACAAGAAATTTTCATAAAAATACTACTGCAGCAGATAGTTTTGCCAAAAATATATGACTCACTTCAGCAAACACTTCACAATACAACTATTATCAACCAAAATCTGTTTATTAAGGAACTACTAGCACGATAACTAAGCATTCGAGTAAAAACCTTTGAAATGGATTTGTAGAATGATGTGCAGCTTAAAGTTATACAGCATGCTCACTATAATTTGCTAGAACTAATATGCAGCATGCTCACTCTAATTTTTAAAAGTAGTAATTGCCGCTAAGATAGCCTGGCAGGCTGGCATAAAACCTGTTCAAAATCTATATCTTTGTACTCTTTATATGTTAATATATATGCTACATCAGATGGGAGAGCTGAAGAAACTAGTCGAGGAGGGGAAAATCAAGTACATAGGTCTATCTGAAGCATCGGAATCAACCATCAGAAGAGCTCATGCAGTTCATCCCATAACAGCAGTCCAGATTGAATGGTCTTTGTGGGCGAGAGATGTGGAGGAAGTCATAGTTCCTACCTGCAGGTGAGATATCCCGCTTTGATAAGTGAGTTTGAAAAGTTGGTGTTGTGTCTTTCGAGTTATGAATTTTATGTATGTATCTTGAATTAGGGAGCTTGGGATTGGAATTGTGGCTTACTGTCCTTTAGGAAGGGGCTTTTTTTCTTCAGGGCCTAAGATAACAGAGAAGTTTGCAAAAGAGGATCAGCGGCAGGTTTGTCCAAATCGCTCGCTCTGACTTAGTTTCTTGTATATTATTTTTCTGAATTTCCGAAAATGATTTATGTCTTCCATGATTCACAAACTTAGAAACGTTGTTCTAGTATTAAAGCAATCCCTTTCATATATAGTACGATTAGTTGTGTGAATGAAGGTTATTGATTTATAGCTTCATGTTGATCAACTTATTTGTATTCCTTTCAGTACTATCCAAGATTCCAACCAGAAAATCTAGAGCATAACAAACAAATATATGAGCGGATCAGTGAAATAGCTGCTCTAAAAGGATGCACCCCAGGACAGTTAGCACTTGCATGGCTCCATCACCAGGGAGACGATGTATGTCCCATCCCCGGAACCACTAAGATTGAGAACCTCAACCAGAACATTGGAGCCTTGTCTGTAAAGCTAACTCCTGAAGAAATGGCTGAGCTAGAATCTCTTGCCTCAGAGGAGGGTGTCAAGGGTGATCGATATGGGGATGTATCTCGATCTTATACCTGGAAGAATTCAGACACACCGCCTTTCTCCTCATGGAAACCTGAATGAAATTAGTTCATCCTTTATTGTACAACAGTTCTCTAAAAGAATATGTTTTTCTGTGAACATCAGTAGTTTTTTGCTTAATGCAGCAAGCTCAGATATTGATCAATTTACCTATTGCTTGTACTAATGGATCTGTTTTTGCCAGTTGAGTGTGCTTTTGCTTAATTTCTTGTTGTAATTTGTATCAATATCTTTTTCTTGAAATTATCATGGGGTCATAATGAAAAAGTTGTTGATTTATTCACGAAAATGTTTTCATGAGAAACAAATTTCGTTTCTCAATATGAGAAACAGGGAATTTCCCATAATTGGCTACAAAATTTGTCCTCGAATATGCTGATGGAAAAGGAGAGATTCATGGTGATCCTGCATACATAAGGGCTTGCTATGAGCCTGCGAGGGAAGCTTGAAGCGGCCTGGCCTGGTGTTGATTGCATCGACCTCTATTATCAGCACCGTTCCCATTGAAGTCACGGTGTGTCCTTTTATTTAGTCCATCTATTTTCTTTATTATTACCCTGATTTATCATTCTGAAATGGAATCTGCTACTAAATATGTATTTCTGTTCTTTTTTTTTATTTTTTTTTTATTTTTATTTTTATTTTAACTTTACATATTTATTAATTATATTTCCTGCCATACTAAGATTGATTAAAAACAAGTTCTTTGTCAAATTTTCAAATCAGGGGACATTTTTCTTTGAATTGCAATAACTGATTACTTTGTACAAGTAGGTTCAAGATAATATTATCAATGATTAATTTTTTTTTTCTGTTAATTAATTTATTATCAATTAATCATTCTTCTCCAAGCTTTTTTGTACATGTTTGATGACTGACCATTTCAACGTAATCGAATTAACTTTTGTTTACTATAGGCTATAATAAACTTGTATATACCTACATGTTGAAAATTAAATCACCAAATTTGACATCTCAACCATGGTAAATAGACTATAATGTTATTGGTTTCTTTTTATATTTATCTTAATTATATTAATAATCACTATGACATCATGTATAACGCACGAATTTCCCTAGATGTTCTATAAATAGCATGCATTAGCCCTTCCAAGAAATGAATCAGTAAATCCAACAAGTGTAAACTCAAAAAAACAATAAGAAATGGAAGGTGTTGTTAGAAAGATTAAGTTAGGCTCTCAAGGTTTAGAAGTTTCAGCTCAAGGTCTAGGATGTTTGGGAATGTGTTTTTATTTTAGACCTCGAAACTCCGATGAAGACATGATTGAAGTTATCCACCATGCTATCAACTCCGGCATCACTTTCCTTGATACTTCCGACACCTATGGACCTCATACCAACGAGATTCTCCTAGGCAAGGTATGTACTCGTAGTTGCATAACTACTTGTTTTTGATATGATATGTTTAATAGATTATAAACATAAAATGAGAGTTTGTGTTGGTTTAATTTAATAAAATTTATTTTGTAAAATTGTGTATTGATTGAGCAGGCACTACAAGGAGAATGGAGAGAAAAAGTGGTATTGGCTACAAAATTTGGCATCAACGGCGCTGTTGGTGCAGACATGCAGATTCGGGGTGATCCTGCATATGTAAGGGCTGCCTGTGAAGGAAGCTTGAAGCGGCTTGATGTTGATTGTATCGATCTCTATTATCAACACCGTGTTGATACCAATGTTCCTATTGAAATCACGGTTGGTTACTTAATTTTTATTATATTTTGTGCTATTTATACTAATAGATACTTGATCTCTTCCCTTTCATACTATAAGGCATACATAGTTTTCGAGGTTAAACATATATAGGCCATTAGGCCATACCTTATCAGAACTTATGTATATTGACTTGATCATAAGGTTAAACAAGAGTTAATTTGTTTTTCTTATGTTTTTGTCACATGTAATTTCAGATGGGAGAGCTAAAGAAATTGGTTGAAGAGAGTAAAATCAAGTACATTGGTTTATCTGAGGCATCTGCTTCGACTATCAGAAGCGCATGCAGTCCACCCGATTACAGCAGTTCAGTTGGAATGGTCTCTTTGGAGCAGAGATGTGGAGGAAGAAATAGTTCCTACCTGCAGGTGAGACCGCGAGACTTTTCAGATGTAACATTCTTAAAAAAAATTGAGTGTTCTAACATTGTTGTTACATTAACTTAGGGAACTTGGGATCGGAATTGTATCATACAGTCCTCTAGGAAGGGGATTTCTCTCTTCAGGACTTAAGATGTTAGATAACCTTTCAAACAATAAGGAATACTGGCAGCAGGTATGAACGCGTAATTTCATGTGACCAATTTATAAATATTTGTTCTAACTTCTAACCTGAAATGAATTTTCCATGTTAAATATAACTGTATTAAGCCTGTTAGATGTAACTTTACATAAATAATAAATAATCCTGCAACATGTTTATTCTTTTCCTATATCGCGTAAAGTTTAGCTATATACATTAGTTTCAGTCTATCGACTAGCCTGTTAGGCTGTCACTCCATATTGATCTGCTTATTTACCATTTCTTTCAGTTATTTCCAAGGTTTCATCCTGAAAATCTAGAGCATAACAAGCACATCTTTGATCGAGTTACTGAAATTGCAACCAAAAAAGGATGTACCCCTGCACAACTAGCACTGGCTTGGGTCCATCACCAAGGAGATGATGTGTGTCCAATCCCGGGAACCACTAAGATTGAGAACCTGAAACAGAACATTGGCGCGCTATCAGTGAAACTAACACCCGAGGATATGATTGAGTTAGAGCACCTTGCCTCGAAGGATAGTGTTAAGGGTGATCGATATGAAGCTGGAATGGCTACTTGGAAGACCTGTGATACTCCACCTTTATCCTCTTGGAAAGTAGAGAACTAAAAAAAGATGGAACATCCTGTGCTTAGGTGCTGAATTTTCTTGAATTGAGACTTGAGAGTTGTAGACTTTTTTTTTTTTTTTTTTTCCTCTCTTATTTTAAAAATGCATTATTTATTGGTTGTGTGTCAATTTTATGTAATATTCAGAGTAAATGATGTAATCTTGTTTATGAGCTCCTCCACCTTGAATAATCAATTTTTTTTTTTTTTTTGACGTAGAATAATCAAATTTTGAATAAATTAAGGGACCATTATTTTTTTTATATGATTATGGGTTATATTATATCATTGCGTTTTACGGTGATCATTTTATTATTTAATCACCTAAAAGTGTACATACATTTTGATATTTAATTCATAAGCATGGCAATAAGAAAATTGTGATAATGCACCAGTGTCACCAAGTATTGCTCCATATCAATTTTCTTAGTTTTAATTCAAACTAAGAGCCTGTTCTTATTGACTGAACTCAGCTGAACTGAACTGAGCTGAACTGAACTGAATATTTTATAAGAGAAGGAAATTAGGAGCGGAGCTGAGTTGAACTGAACTGAACTGAACTGAATTTTAACGTAAGAGAACAAGCCCTAAGAGTGTATATAAAAGTTAAGACAATATTACCTGTTTTTATGTTCTTTGAACTTAATTAGGCGAGCTTTACTTTGATCTTTCAATCGATCTCAAAAATAAATTATATCTTGTTTCATCCCATAGTTTATGGTTTTCGTGAATATCTCGGGATTGTTTATGTAAATCTAGTGAAATTTAAAAACAATTTTTCAGAGACAACTTTTGTGCTTTCGACAATATGAATACTAAATATATCAAAATCAAGCTAGTCTAAGATTGTAAGAGTCAATTTTTGTTGAACTTACCACCCAATTCAATGTAAAACAAATTGATAAATTTGGCTAAACAAGTGGTAATTTGCTGCAAATTTTTAAAATTGGTGGTATTGTGCAATAATTTTTTATGCAAAAAAATAGATTTAAAAGGTGGTTTTTTTTTGCAAAATTTCCTTTTATTTTTGTAAAACTCACAAAGGCAATATTTTCTTAGACCAACTAACTTTGTATACTTTATCTCTTTTGTCATAATTTTTATACAAATTTAAAATAATTTTTTTTTGAACAATACAAATTGTAAATATTAAAAACTTAAAAACATGGTGACTCTATTGATTACACCACATAAGGATGTAATACAACTATATCTAATTTGAGATTAAAAATCCCAATTACATTTAGGCCCTGTTCAATTTCTCTTATCTTTACTGAACTAAAATTATTTTTACTAAATTGAAATTATTTTAATTGATTCTCTATTGTATCTGTTCTATAAATTTACTGATGATTTTTATTGAACTAAAATTATTTTTATGAAACCAAAATCATTTTTGCTGAATACTCCCTATGTCCCATAATACTTGAGACGTTGAGTTGCACACTTAGTTTAAGAAAACTATAAGTTGGTCTATTTAAAACATTTGTTTATCATATAAAAGATTATCTTTTGTATTTTAATATTGTAAGAAAAGAACAAGTGGGGTGGAAGTGGAGTAGGTGAAGAGAGAAAAAATGTGGAAAAATATTATGGGACGGACGAAAAGTATTCTCATTCCATACTTTAGTAATGTGTCAAGTATTGTAGGACGAAGGAAAATGAAAACTATATCGAGTATTATGAGTGTGGAAGTATTTTTTTTATTTATAATTCTTCACTTCATCAATTATGCAAATCAATGAAAACATGACTTTTCTTTCCAAAAAAAAAAGAAAAAAAAATGACTTCATCAATTACGCAAATCTCTTCATCAAAAAGTCAACTTATCTATCACTACAAATACCCCCCAACACTTAACACACTCAAATCACTCATTATTCTCTCCTCTCACCAACTCTCACAAAAGAGAAGAAACTATAAACCCCCCCAAAAAACAGAGGAAAACAGAGAGATTTGATAGAATGGCAGAATCAAATGGTGTTAGGAGAATGAAGCTGGGATCACAAGGTCTAGAAGTTTCTGCTCAAGGTCTAGGATGTATGGGTATGTCTGCTTTATATGGACCTCCTAAACCAGAAGAAGATATGATCAAGCTTATTCATCATGCTATTAGCTCTGGCATCACTTTCCTTGATACTTCTGATATTTATGGACCTCATACCAATGAAGTTCTTCTTGGGAAGGTTTTTAATCAATACCCTTTTTTATTTATGGCATAATTTGAGCTTTGATTGAATAATTTGATGATAATTTGGTCTTAATTTTGATGGGTATGTGTTCAATTTTTAGGGTATTTTGGGTATTGATTTAGGCGTGTTCTTGGTTTTTGATGATCTTATGATGATGTTCTGATCTGGGGTATTGATTAATTTTAGTAATAATTGGTAATGGTTAATTGCTTTGTTGATTGGATGGATATATAATAATGTTTTGTAAGAAATTTTGTGAATTTCTGAACACATTGATAATTTGACTAGAATTGGGACTTTATTGAATATTGATGATGCAATTTTTGGGGTTTGATAGTGTACAGTATGATTGAATTGGCCATTTTTGGGTTTTGATCTTGTAAATTGGGCAGGCATTTAAAGGAGGATGGAGAGAGAAAGTGGAATTGGCTTCAAAATTTGGCGTTAGATATGTGGATGGAAAAGGAGAGATTCGCGGTGATCCTGCATATGTAAGAGCTGCCTGTGAGGGAAGCTTGAAGCGGCTTGATATCGATTGCATCGATCTCTATTATCAACATCGTATTGATACTAACACTCCGATTGAAGTCACGGTTCGTCCTTTTGCTCCATCAGTTATTTCTATTAGTTATTCTTGCTTATGATTCTAAAACATGTCTCATTTAATTATGAAATATCCATGTTTGTTCTATGTCTTGTCTATTTTGGGTTATGGATTAGTTTTAAGGAGAGTTTGGAAAATGAAGCCTTATCTTCTTTTAAACTGTTGTCACATCACAATTTAGCACATACTCTTCAATACACGTGTTAAGCTATCATAATCATAGTATGGAAAATTTGGAATGGGATTGGTGGTGATTAAATACAACTAAGCACTTTATTCTGAAACTGTCAAATTGAGGTCTTAAGCAGATTAGCTATCATAATCTTAGAGAAGAGGTGGTGTGTCAAATACTACTCCACGAGAAATTGGAGAACTTTCTTCTCGAACTCTCATTATTGAGGTGTTATGCCAATTGCCAAAATTAAACCAACCCCATGGTCACTGGATGGGGATTAGCTGTGAGAGTCTGTTAACTTTCAAGCATCCTTGTATGAAAGCTACTGGTAAATTTTTAGCATGTTTAGCAGAAATTCTTAAGAGTAGATGTTAGCAATAGTGTAGTGTTTTAAAAATTCTTTACCAACATACCCATTATCTTATGCCCAAACCCCTTTGTATTAAGTCCTTAGTTTTCATACAAACAAATAATATTGCAACAAATACTTTGCCAATAATATTAACCAAAATCTTCTTTTAAAGGAACCACTAGCTCGATAACTGAGCCACCGATCACAAAACTTTTCTATATGGTTTGGTACAATGATATGCACCTGAATGGTATACAGCATGGTCACAATAATTTGCTAGAACTAATATGCAGCATGCTCAGTTTAATTTTAGAACACAGTAATTGCTGCTAAGATTAAAAGCAGTTCAAAACTTATTTCTGTGTCCTCTTATATGGTAATATGCTGCTACATCAGATGGGAGAACTGAAGAAACTGGTTGAGGAGGGGAAAATCAAGTATATAGGTCTATCTGAAGCATCAGCATCAACCATCAGAAGAGCACATGCAGTTCATCCCATAACAGCAGTCCAGATTGAATGGTCTTTGTGGACGAGAGATGTGGAGGAAGACATAGTTCCTACCTGTAGGTGAGATATCTCTGATTTTGGTAAGTGAATGTGAAAACTTGGAACTGTATCTTCAGAGTTCTGACTTTGTTGTATCTTGACATAGGGAGCTTGGGATTGGAATTGTGGCTTACAGTCCTTTAGGAAGGGGCTTTTTGTCTTCTGGGCCCAAGATGACAGAGAACTTTGCAAAAGAGGACTTCAGGCAGGTTTGTCCAATTTGCTATGACATAGTTAATTGTCTCATTTTTCTGAGATTCCTCAAAAAAGCAAAAGATGAAGCTTCTTTATCTAGTTTATTAATCTTGTACCCCATATTTGTTAAGTACTTTTTTTTTTTTTTTTTTTTTTGAAACAATATTTGTTAAGTACTTAAGTATAATCTTATACAAGTATAATGGTATTCCTCAAAATAAAGCTCGTTTTTTTGCTTCATATGTACCGTAATTGACCTATAATCCCCCCCCCCCAATCTTTTTTTTTTTAATCAAAGATGATAATTCTAGTTTGGCTCCATTAACATAATAAATATGCAGTAGTGCTTTTGCCATTCATGCAAAGGTCCTTTATTGATTTAAAACCTTTCTTGGTCTACCACTCTACCCCCACCCAAAATTATGCGCCAAATTAATGGCCGTCAATTCATTAACTAACATTATAAACACCGTTGTTAGTTTATTGATGAGTTTGACCCCTTGATCTTTATTGGAAACAGAGCAATTCCTAGTTTTAGATTAATTATTACTAAGGGTTGCTCCTCTATATCTTCCATAATTTACAAACTTAGAAGAGTTGTGCTTAATAAAAAGAAGTAAATTTGAGGGCTTATTAAGTAATCCCTTTCATGGTATGATCAGTTGTGGAAAGATTATTGATCTCTAGCACCATGTTGATCAACTTAATTCTTTGCCTTTCAGCACTTACCAAGGTTCAAACCGGAGAATCTAGAGCATAACAAACATCTATTTGAGCGGGTCACTGAAATAGCTGCTCAAAAAGGATGCACCCCAGGACAATTAGCGCTTGCGTGGGTCCATCACCAGGGAGGTGATGTATGTCCCATCCCCGGAACCACTAAGATTGAGAACCTCAACCAGAACATTGGAGCCTTGTCTGTAAAGCTAACTCCAGAAGAAATGGCTGAGCTAGAATCTCTTGCCTCGGAGGGAAGTGTCAAGGGAGATCGATATGGAGGTTTATCCTCTACCTGGAAGAATTCAGACACCCCACCTTTGTCCTCATGGAAATCTGAATGAAAATGGTTCATCCTATGTTGTGAACATCAGTATTTTTCCGCTTACAGCTATCTCAGATGTATCAATTTACCTCTTTCTTGTACTATTGAGTCTTTATGTGTTAGTTTAATGTTGTAATTTGCATCAGTATCTTTTGCCTTAATAAAGATGAGTTGATATCATGAAAATTTCATGGGTTGATTTCCACAACTCGGCTGTTATAAGTTATCACATAATAACTTAACTATCTGACGCTCGGCAATCAAAGTATAAGTGGACCAGGAGGATAGTCAAATGTGCAGAAGGCCACATCCAGCCCCCTTACTAAAACTCTAGTCACTGAGATTTGAGCTTAACTAATGTTTCTCTAGGAAGGGGCTTTCGCTCTTCAGGGCCTAAGATGGTTACAAGCATCACAAAGAAGGGCTCCTGGCAGCAGGTATGAACGCGTAATTTCATGTGATCAACCCATGAATCGTTCTAACATCAAATGAATTTTCCATGTATAATGTAATTGTATTTAGCATGTTAGATGTAACTTTGCATTAATAGTCCAGCAGCATGTTTGTTCTTCTCCTGTATCGTGTAATCTTTAGCTAGATAATAGCCTATTAGACTGTTACTCCATGCTAATCTGCATATTTATCATTCCTTTCAATTATTTCCAAGACTATGAATCAATTTCTTTTTTACTCTTTTGTTTCACTATCTTATTTCCTTGCAAAATGTCTTAAAATGAAAGTTTGGTGTTTGAAAATGAGACATTCAAAGTATAGGATTTTACAACTGTTTAATTCTTGTTCATTAATAAATCATGTTATTAATTTTCTTATTTAATTTTTTAAGAACCTTTGCATTAATAGATATCAATAACCGCAAAAACTAGTTTACATGCCTTCTGGATTTACATTTTCCCATTTAAATTTGAGTTTGTCTTGTGCTCTAGTCCCTTTGGCTGAACTGTTTAACGAAGCTGTTTAACACCTATATTTGGCCAATGCGTAGAAATAATACACGTTAGGTCCTCTATAAATTTAAAGCCCTGTTCTTTGAGTTTGTTTTATCAAAGTTCCCAAATTTAGATATACTTGTATGGTTGTATCAACAAAGACAAAACTCAATAGATATCCCAATTAGACCATGACTTCATCAATTTTGCAACTTTCCCCCCTTTTTCTTCATTTAAATACTCAAATTAGCTCCATCACTTAACACACTCAAATTACTCTCCTCTCACCAATACCCACAAAAGAGAAGAAACAAAAATAAACCCCCAAAACCAGAGGAAAACAGGGGAAAACAGAGAGATTTCACTCTATGGCAGAATCAAATGGTGTTAGGAGAATGAAGCTGGGTTCACAGGGTCTAGAAGTTTCTGCTCAAGGTCTAGGGTGTATGGGTATGTCTGCTTTTTATGGACCCCCTAACCTGAACAAGATATGATCAAACTTATTCATCATGCTGTTAGCTCTGGCATCACTTTTCTTGATACTTCTGATGTTTATGGTCCTCATACCAATGAAATTCTTCTTGGAAAGGTATTTAACCATTACCCTTTTCTATTTATGACATTTTTTGAGCTTTGATTGTTTATTTGATGTTATTTTGGTCTTGATCTTGATGGGGATTTGTTCAATACTTAGGAATTTCATTTTTTTTCTCGTCTGTTTTTTTTTTTTTTTTTTGGACAAATCCTCTGTGATATGGGTATTGATTTAGGTGTGTTCTAGTATAATGATGATCTTATGATAATTTTTGATCAGTTGTTAATTGGTGTGTTGATTGGATAGATATATGATAATGTTTTGTTAGCAATATATTGAATTTCTAAACATATTGATAATTTGATTGATATTAGGACTTAATTGGTGATGTGATTTTCGGGTTAGATAGCTTATGATTGTATATTTTTTTTTTTTTTTCCTTTTCCTTTTTGGGTTTTGATCTTGTAATTTGGGCAGGCATTAAAAGGAGGATGGAGAGAGAAAGTGGAATTGGCTACAAAATTTGGCCTTCGATATGTGGAAGGAAAAGGAGAAATTCATGGTGATCCTGCCTATGCAAGGGCTGCCTGTGAGGGAAGCTTAAAGCGGCTGGATATCGATTGCATCGACCTCTATTACCAGCATCGTATTGATACCAAAACCCCAATAGAAGTCATGGTTTGTACAATTGCTTCTTCAGAAATCTCTATTAGTATTCATTTCTGAAATATTCGTATATTTTTTTCAAAAAAACATTCGTAATTTGTTCTATCTCTTGTCTATATTTGGGTGAGAAATTAGTTGTATGGAGTGGACGGGAAAATAGAAGGTATATCACTGAGGGACTTATCATAAGCTATTATTGAATACACCGGATTATTTATCATAAGCTATTTAGGGGAAAGGGATGGACCGATGGTGTATCAAATACAACTGTACAAGAAATTTTAGCTCTTTCTACAAAAATTGTCATTTTTCAGGTGTTATGCAAATCTAAACCAATCCCATGGACGTTGGTCGGAAATTAGCTAGAGAATTGGTCATACACAAGCAGTCCTTGCATGAAAGATAGTCACAAAGTCAAAGCATGCGAAAGCAATAGCTTTTAAAGTAAAAATTTTGGTAGTGATTGTGGAATAATATTCACTGTGTTATTAGAGAATAGAGCTGGTGTTTCTATAACTGTTTATCAACATAATCATTATCTTGTTGCCCAACCCCTTTGTATTTACGTTCTTAATGTTCAAAATCTATTTCTTTGTCCTCTTATATGTTGATATGCTACATCAGATGGGAGAACTGAAGAAACTGGTCAAGGAGGGGAAAATCAAGTACATAGGTTTATCTGAAGCATCGGCATCAACCATCAGAAGAGCACATGCAGTTCATCCCATAACAGCAGTCCAGATTGAATGGTCCTTGTGGACGCGAGATGTGGAGGGAGACATAGTTCCTACTTGCAGGTGAGTTAAATCTGATACTTGGTAAGTGAATGTAAAAACTTGGGACTGTGTCTCAAAGTTCTGACTTTGTTGTATCTTGACATAGGGAGCTTGGGATTGGAATTGTGGCATACAGTCCTTTAGGAAGAGGCTTTTTTCTCTTCAGGGCCTAAGATGACAGAGAACTTGGCCAAAGAGGACTTCCGGCAGGTTTGTCCAAATTGCTCTGACTTAGTTTATAGTCTTTTTTTTTTTCCGAGTTTACTGGTATAAGATTAAAAAAATTGCTCTTTTTTTCTAGTTTATTTATCTATCTTATACTCCATATTTGTTTAGTAAAATCTTGTTTTTAAGGGATTCCTCAAAACAATGCTCCATTTCCTGTTTCAAATGTACTGTAATTGACCTATAATTTCCTTGCTATTCCTTTAACATAATATGTGTGCAGTAGTGCTTTTTCAATTTATGCAAAGGTTCCTTGTTGCATTTGAAGCCTTTGTTGGTGTACTCCCACTCAAAATTAACCAACAAGCTCATTGCCCGTCATTTTGTCAATTAACATTATAAACATCGTTGTTATTTGCTTCTAGAGTTTGACCCCTTGATCTTTATTCGAAACAGGGAACTTCAAAGCTAGTAATTCTAGGCTAATTATTTCTAAGGGTTGCTCCTGTATATCTTCCATGAGTCACAAACATAATAAAGTTGTACTTAATGAATGGAAGTAAATATGAGGGCTTATCTCGATTATTAAAGTAATCCCTGTCATAATACGAATAGCTTTGTGAAGATTATTGATCTTTATCTTCATATTGATCTACTCATTTCTTTTCCTTTCAGCTCTTACCAAGTTTCAAACCAGAGAATCTAGAGCATAACAAACATTTATTTGAGCGGGTCAGTGAAATAGCTGCTCAAAAAGGATGCACCCCTGGACAATTAGCACTTGCGTGGGTTTATCACCACTCACCAGGGGATGATGTATGTCCCATCCCCGGAACCACTAAGATTACCTCAACCAGAACATTGGAGCCTTGTCTGTAAGTCTAACTCCAGGAGAAATGGCTGAGTTAGAATCTCTTGCCTCAGAGGGCAGTGTTAAGGGTGATCGATATGGAGGTTTATCTTCTACCTGGAAGACTTCAGACACCCCACCTTTGTCCTCATGGACACCTGAATGAAGGGTTCATCATATATTGTGCAACAGTACTCCAAAGGATAATGTTTTGTTGTGAACATCAGTAGTTTTTTGATCAAATTACTTCTTTTTTTTTGTATTGCTGGAGTTGTTTTTGCCAGTTAAGTGTGCTTTTGTTTCTTTTTGTAATCTGTATGGACTGTATCTATATCTTTTGCCTTAATAAAGAAGATTTACTTTTCATGTAATTTTCATGGGTTGATTTCCTTGACTCAGCTGTTATTACATAATTACATAACTATCTGACACACGGCAATTATAGGATAAGTGATACCATGAGAAAAGTCAAACTTAGCAAAAGGCCATATCCAGCCCCTCTTATTGGAAACTCCAGTCACTGAGATTTGAGCTTGGCCAAAGGTTTCTCTTGCCTATTTAACATTCACTTGATACACAGTTGCTTACATCCAGGAAGCAGAAACAGGAAGATATGGCATCAGCTGTTAAGAGGGTAAAGCTGGGTTCTCAGGGTTTGGAAGTATCAGCTCAAGGCCTTGGATGTATGGGGATGTCTGCCTTTTACGGCCCTCCTAAACCCGAGAAAGACATGATTCAACTGATCCACCATGCTATTGACTCTGGTATCACCTTCCTTGACACATCTGATGTTTATGGACCTCATACAAATGAGTATCTCCTTGGCAAGGTAATTTAAGATATGCCACCTTTTATATTGATGATTCTATATGCTCTTTGTTTGTTTATTTATTTTAAGCTTTGATATTATAGGTGTGTGCTCAGTTTTGGTAATTTTTTTTTTCCAAAGGCATTTTGATTTATTTTTGTTGATGTCGTTTTGTGTGTAGCTATATATTTTGACAAGATTTAGTTTTGATGCTGATTTTTTGTGCTACTGAATCTGATTGTTGGTTAACTTTATGGTAAGTGACATTAACTTAGCAGTCAGGTTTTGGGAACAACATAACTCATTACTTGGAATTGGTCCCAATTGGAACTTCAAGTATGATTAAGCTAGCTTTCCTTTTCTTTTCTTATTATTTTCCTTGTGGATTTGTGTTGGGCAGGCATTGAGAGGAGGTTGGAGGGAGAAAGTGGAATTGGCTACAAAATTTGGCCTCAAATTTACTGATGGAAAAGGAGAGATTTGTGGTGATCCTGCATATGTAAGGGCTTGCTGTGAGGGAAGCTTGTAGCGGCTTAATGTTGATTGCATCGACCTCTATTATCAGCACCGTGTTGATATCAGAATTCCCATTGAAGTCACGGTGTGTTCATTTGCTTCATTTTATTTTCTTATTCACCCTGGTTTATCATTCTGAAATGGAATCTGCTACCAGAAACATTATTTATTATTTAACTTGGATTTCCAGTTTTCATGTTATTTCTAGTAACATTTGGACTATCACTTAATATTATGAAGAGAGGGGACCAAGAAGAAAAGTCAGGGTGAAGATAAGTTAATAGTTCGGAGGATTCAGAGCATCACATCAGGTGATGTGTTGATGTGATGACAATTTCAGTGGTATTAAGTTATAGGTTGATCACTGTGTCTATCACAAGGGTGTGCTAATAATTTATAAAGTTTTAAGCTACTTCAGATGTCTTAGAGCTACCTATTTAAAGCCTTTTCATATATATAAATGCTATATATTATTAGGTTGGGTGTTACACGACTTAAGGTTGCTGCTATACTAAGATTGTCTGATAAAACCAGTTCTGTCTTTTGAGTTGTTGACATGCTGCATCAGATGGGAGAGCTGAAAAAACTAGTCGAGGAGGGAAAAATCAAGTACATAGGTCTATCTGAAGCTTCAGCTTCAACCATCAAAAGAGCGCATGCAGTTCACCCTGTAACAGCCGTTCAGCTGGAATGGTCCTTGTGGACAAGAGATGTGGAGGATGAAATAATTCCTACCTGCAGGTGACATGTTTCTGATGCTCGAAATTCTAATGAGAACATCAAACTGTTGTGTTCTGAGTTCTGACTTTATTTATCTCTAGGGAACTCGGAATTGGAATTGTGGCATATAGTCCTCTTGGAAGGGGGTTCCTCTCTTCAGGGCCTAAGATAGTGGAGAGCTTCTCAAAGGAGGACCTTCGGCAGGTTTGTCCAAATTGTTGACGTATTTGTATACAATGTGTTCCATGTGTGCCAAATAAGTGGTCTCGTTTTGTACAGTTACTTTTGTTTTAATAGTAACCTCTTGCTACATGTTACTCTTATTGGCTTTCAGAACTTGTCAAGGTTCCAACCAGAGAATATTGAGCACAATAAACACATGTTTGAGCGAGTCAGTGAAATAGCAGCCTGAAAAAGATGCACCACAGCACAACTAGCGCTTGCATGGGTTCATCACCAGGGAGCTGATGTGTGTTCCATCCCCGGAACCACTAAGATTGAAAACCTCAACCAGAACATTGGAGCCTTATCTGTGAAGCTTACTCCTGAAGAGATGGCTGAGCTAGAGCCCTTTGCCTCTGCTGACAGCGTTAAAGGCCATCGATATGGAGGTCTTACTAGTACTTGGGAGAATTCAGAGACTCCATCTTTGTCCTCCTGGTCACCTGAATGATGATGTTGCATATACCGAATCCTGTATTTCTTAAATGTTGTCTACTTTGTGTGATCATCTTGTTGTTAATAGTTACATTTTGTCATAAAAACAAACAATTTATTTCGTTCATGATCTTGAATTGAAGCTGTATTAATAAGTTTTACAACAATAAAGAAATTTCTTCATCATGAAAGTTTTTTCGATCAGCTATTGCACACACAAATGGAAGTTCATATCAATTTTTTTTTTTTTTTGGTCGTAGAATATATCATGATGGTTTTACATTGAAATCTTTTATTTATTTACACATAGGTTCTGAATATACAGCAAAATCTTGTAAAAAATAATAATAAATAGCAAAATCATTAGCAAATGAAAAGTTTAAAAATAACAGCTTAGATTAATTTTTTATACAACCCCTCAAATAGAATAATAATAAATATATAATTTTTATACAGAAAATAATATCTTTTAAAAAATAAACTCAATAATTCCTATATTCCCTGAAAAAAAAAAACAAAAAAAAAAAAAAAAAAACACAAAAATAATTCTTAACTGAATTGAGAATAAGTAGCTTGGACTTAGATAAAGTAAAACAACAAAGATTTAGGTGCCAATTATTAAGCTATAATTGTTGTGCAAATCAAGATCACAAAAAAATCTTCCTTACTCTTAAAAGCAATATTATTATCAGAAAAATCTTAGTATTAGAATCAATGGTTTTCTGCCATTGTCACAACTATATATGGTGTATAATCAGCCCAACCTTCATACTATTCTGTCTTTCATTGCATACCTATCATTACTTATCACCATATTCAAACACAGTGAAAGAAACAATCCGTCTCGTACCGGTAATTAATCAGGAAAGGACAGGGAAGAGATTAGTCAGTGTACAGGAAGATCCGTGCTCAGGCCGTTACATTTACATGCATGATCTTCCTGCAAGGTTCAACCATGACTTAGTAACAAAATGTAATACACTTAGCCAATGGTTCGATTTCTGCCCTTATGTTAAAAATGAAGGTTTTGGGCCTCGGCTTAATGAGTTAAGTTGGTATGCTACTAACCAGTTTATGTTATCAGTGATATTCTATAATAGGATGAAGAAGTATGAATGCTTAACTACTAGTTCTTTTATAGCATCAGCAATCTATGCACCGTTTTTCCCTGGATTAGAAGTAGGCCGGTTTCTTTGGGGCGGGTTTAACTCATCAGTTAAGGATGTTGCAGCCCTTGATTTTGCTACATGGCTAAGGAGAAAACCGGAGTGGAACAGGATGCTTGGTAAGGATCATTTCTTTGTAGCAGGAAGAATTACTTGGGACTTTAGGAGGCTAAGAGACGCAAACTCTAAGGCATGGGGTAATGTACTCTTAAACTTGCCTGAAGCCAAAAACATGACAATGCTAACCATTGAGTCGAGCCCTTATGGCAGCAATGACTTTGCAATCCCATATCCGACCTATTTCCATCCTTCGAGTGACAGAGAGGTGATTGAGTGGCAGCAACGCGTGAGGAAGTCACCACGAAGGAAATACCTCTTTGCATTTGGTGGAGCTCCTCGCCCCAATATGACAGGATCGGTCAGAGGAGAGTTGATTAGTCAGTGTAAAAACGCGATAAGCAATAGCTGCAGGTTGCTTAATTGTTTGCATAAAGATGATCTTTGTAACAGTCCAAAGAATGTTATCAGGACATACATGAAGTCTGATTTCTGCCTGCAACCTCCTGGGGACTCATACACGAGAAAATCTACTTTTGATTCGATCTTAGCTGGGTGTATCCCGGTATTTTTCCATCCAGGATCAGCTTACATTCAGTACTTGTGGCATTTTCCTAAGAATTACACAAAGTATTCTGTATTCATACCAATAGATGGGATTAAAAATGGGACTGTTAATGTTAGGGAGCTACTGTCAAAAATTCCTGACAATGAAGCTGTTGCTTTAAGAGAAGAGGTAATAAGGTTGATCCCAAGAATTATTTACGCGCAAAATAAGTTGGAAACAATTGAGGACGCATTTGATGTATCTGTTAAAATGGTACTGAGGAGGATTGAAGAAGCTAGGATAAGGTTTCGAGAAGGGAAAGAGGAGTCAAGAAAGAAGTATTATTTCACAGGAAAAGGCGAAGATCATGAATGGGATTCTTATTTCTGAAGCAAGCAGAATTTGCAGAAATAATGCCAAATTTCAAAGTTATAATTGTGCAAGTGAATTGATAGTTAAAAACTAGTAAAGGACCTAAAGGTGGTTGTTAGGTATACTGTAATATCTGACTTCATGATAGTTTTTTACTGCTTAGATTTTGACAACTAATCTTAGAGAGAAACATAGAAAAATCAGTCATCTTAAATCAATTGTTCAGAGATAAAAATTCAGAATGCATGATTTTATTTCTGTTCTGTTTCGTTTGAAATATTGTATGATGAATTGATGATAGCTTACTTGATGGTAGTTTGCAATGTTGTTTGGTCAGAATATGTGATTATACTCATAAAAAATCATAGGTTTAGAACTGTCTTACTAATAACATCGCTAAAACACGAAACATCAGTATAGTCCTGACTCTTGATCAGCGACGAACTGATATTATTAAGGTGGACAGACACAGGGCAAAACTGAAACAAAAGGTTCAGAAAAACTTGCAGAAGTACTGATTGAGAAATAATGAATTTCCAAACCTCTCAAACGAGATCTAACTGTGTAAAAAATTGTACCATAACAATTCAGTCATACAGTATATATATAAGCTAATGTTTATGCATACATTACCAAATCCATCATTTGGCCGAAATGTCAGAAGAAAGAACTCCACTCCTTTAATTTACCTTCTGAGAAATCCTCTCTGCTTAAATTTCCAGAGGAATTGTTGCTTGGTTCTTTTCCTTCTTGAATTAGTCTCCTGGCATCTTCAATCCTTTCGAGAACATTTGTGACAGCAACATCAAACGCGTCTTCTACCATATTTAATTTTTTCCGTGCATATAATATTCTCGGTATCAATCTAATGACCTCTTTTCTCATGGAAGACACTTCTTCCTCTGAAATCTGTGACAGCAACTCTTCAACTCTGACAGTCCCATTTTTTACCCCATCTTCTGGTATAAACACTGAATATTTGGTGTAATTTTTCGGAAGATGCCACAAGTACTGAATGTAAGCTGATCCAGGGTGGAAGAAAACCGGGATACAGCCAGCCAAGATCGAATCAAAAGTGGACCGCCTTGTGTATGAATCCCCTGAGGGCTGCAGGCAGAAAACAGACTTCATGAACATCTTGATGATATGTGTTGGACTGTTGCACTGATAGTTATTTTGCATACAGTTAACTAAGTTGCAACGATCGTTCAGCGCATCTTTACACTGACTGATCAACTCCCCTCTGATGGACTGTTTCTGATTGGGGCGCGAGGCCCCAGCAAACGAGAAGAGGTAAGCTCGTTTTTTTCTACTCACTATCTTCTGCCACTTATACACTTCATTAATGTTTGAGGGATGGAAATAGGTAGGATATGGGATCGCGAACTCATTACTTTCATAAGGACTTGATTCGATTGTTAGTACTGTCATGTTCTTGACTTCAGGCAAATTCAAGAGCTTGCTACCCCAACCGTCGTTACCATCACCTGTTCTCTTAAAATCCCAATTAATTTTCCCTGCAACAAAGAAATGGTTTTTACCAAACATTCGATTCCACTCATGTTTTTTCTTTAACCACACGACGAAATCTAAGGCTGCTGCATCTTTGACCGAGGAGTTAACCTCGCTCCAAAGGTATCGACTTATCTCTAGGCCAGGGTAAAATGGAGCATAAATCGCCGAGGCCAAGGAAGAATTCCTAGTCAAGCACTCATATTGCTTCATTCTATTGTGAAATATCACAGATAACATAAACTGGTCAGTATGATACCAACTATTCTTGTTAATTCTAGGGCCTAAACCGTCATTTTGCACATAAGGGCAGAAATTATACCATTTAACAAGTGTGTGACAATTTTTAAGCAAGTTTTGGTTGAACCTTGGAGGAAGATCATACATGTAAATGTAACGGCCCGAGCAAGGATCTTGCTTAACATGAATGTCTAGTGATTTTTGATCAAATTTTCGCTTCCTTGGTTCTTCTTGATCAACTCTCGGAGTGATTTTTCCCGGTGTCTGCCAAGTAACATTGCAATTGGTAACAATTATGGTACTTTCATATGTGAATGAGATCGAGAAGTAGTAGTAGGAAGGCAATGCAAGGCACAACAATAAAAGTGTTGCAATAACTATATGCAATAATAATGGATTTTTGTGACAATTTTTGAAGAATTGCATTAAGCTTAATGTTGGCTTCCTAGAGATTATCAAGTGGGACATCATTTTTCTTGTATATGCTTGAAATTGAACAAGGTTCTACTATATAAACCTTCGAAAAACAATAAAATTTTACTTACAACCGTTGTATGAGAAAACTTTCATCGAATGGCTAAATTAATTTGGTGTGGTTAAATTTTTGTGAGCTATTATTATGAGGCAGAACAAAAGAATTTGATTAAATAGGAACATTTTTTTTAGAATCAAAGTGAATAATGTACTATCCATACTTCAAAAATATTCATGTAATCATATGATTTTCTTCCATATATGTAATTTTTCTTGTAGTATTCCAACTCATATATTCAATGCTATAAGATATTGTAGGATTCTTACTAAAACAATTATTAAAAACACTCTATATATTGACTGTGCAATCAAGCCTCTATACCAGCTTTTTTTGGTGATTAAGGAAAGTAAAGATTATGAATTCGAGAGTATAATCAAAATATTTGATTGGATTGGATATTACCAAGTATTTATTTTTTTTGGAAAATGCTATAGGGAGCTAAAAATGCATAGAACAAATGAATTAGAGGTGTCATTTTGGGTGTTCGCCTGTTCGGATCGAGTTCGATAAGGTCAAATCTAATTTTAAACTTAAGGCCCCATTCAATTTACCTTATATTTGCTGAACTGAAATTATTTTTAGTGAAAAAAAATTATATTTTCTAAACTTATATTATTTTTACTGAAATTAAATTAATTTTACTGAACTGAAATTATTTTTGCTGAACTGAAATTATTTTTACTAATTTTCAATTATAATTCTTTTTTAAGATAACTGAAATTTACTGAATTGAAATTATTTTTACTGAACTGAACTTATTTTTACTAAATTATTAATATTTTTTTAAGGTGAAGTGAACAGGGTTTAATCAATCAATAAGGCCCTGTTTGATTTACCTTAATTTTGCTGAACTAAAATTATTTTTACTGAACTGAAATTATTTTTACTGAATTGAAATTATTTTTACTGATTTTCTATTATAATTGTTCTTTAAGAAAACTGAATTTTATTGAACTGAACTTATTTTTACTGAACTGAAATTATTTTTACTGAACTGAAATTAATTTTACTGAACTGAACTTATTTTTACTGAACTTATTATAAGACAACGCATCAGCAATGACACGTGTTATCTTCTGGTGTGTTTTTTTTAAAAAAAAAAAAAAATTAATTATAGTATTAAATCTTATACAAAAATAATTTCGTTTTGTTTATAGTATTAAATCTTATACAAATAAACAATGGCGATAAATTATAATATTAAATCTTATACAAAAATAATTTCAATCAATAATTTCGTTTTGTTTCAAAAAAAAAAATAATCGTTTATATGAGTTGAAATTAAAATTAAATATATTTTCGAATCGATTTTAGATGGAATAAGGTTTTGACACTTCTAAATATATAAGTCTAGCATCCAACTTATCTATTATGGGTCCAACGTGAGTTAACTCAAAAACTCAAACAAAAACCAAAATAAAAAGCCCACTAAAACGCCATTAAATCTTCCTCTTATCAAAACATCATCCACACTCTTCTCCCTCCTCCTCTCTTTCTCTCTCCTCCTTCAACGAAGAAGAAGCTCTGAAACCTCAACAATGGCGACTTTTACAGCTTCTTCTCAATCCCTCTTTCTCCTAAACCCTAAAACCCCTTTTCTCTCCTTATCAAAACCCACCAGAAAAACCCTCTTCTTCGCAACCTCCGCCGCACCAACAACCAATCTCTCTCTTCATATTAGGGCTTCTTCTTCATCTTCAACCTCACCAGCACCTTCAATTTCACCAATTCCAACTATACCCTTCAACGATTCCCCACTTTCCACTTCCATGCGCCCAATCACCACCTTGATCGCCACCGTTTTTGCCGTTTCGAAACTCTTCGCTACTAAAATCGCTTCGATTTTACCCTTACCAACCCCTACTGGGCTCCAGAATCTCACCAATTTGAGGACGAATTTGCTAGGTTCAGTGGGTCCTTTGTTCTTCGCCGCATTGAAAGACCGCCCTAGTGGTTCCCTCAATACTCCATTAACAGTTGTTGCTGCTGGAATGGCGAAATGGCTTGATATTTACAGTGGGGTTTTAATGGTTAGGGTTTTGCTCAGTTGGTTCCCTAATATTCCGTGGGATAGGCAGCCATTATCGGCAATTAGGGATTTGTGTGATCCTTATTTGAATCTGTTTAGAAATATTATTCCACCAATTTTCGATACATTGGATGTTAGCCCGTTGTTAGCTTTCGCGGTGTTGGGACTTCTTGGCTCGATTTTGAACAGCAGTCTTGGGAGTTATTGATGAAAAAGATGAAGGTGAATTGAAGGTGGGAGAATGAGTAAGCTGTTTATGTATGGTATTGTTAAATTTTGTCTTTATAAAATTTGTTATAAAAGTGAATTTTGCTGTGAGTTAGAACAATGGAATATACTGATTTAGTAAGCTGTTAGCTCTACTTTAGATGAAGAAATGGAATCATCACATTATTGAGGAATATTAACCTATAATTATTTATATATATATATATATATGCTATTTTCAATTTTGTTATTTTGTTGATGATGATGTTTTCTTTTTGCTCTGTTGATATCGAATTTGAGTGAGTTGTTTATGGTGTAGTATAGTGTTTTGTGGGATTTTGTTGATGAACTGTGAAGTATGGTAATTTAGCTAGTTGGTAGTTAAATTGTGTTATTTTTGGCAAAGAAAAGAAAACCGTCAAAATCTTGAGATATTTGAGTTCATACCAGAATTATATTGATTGCATTGATATTCGTGATGTAAAGCCCCAAACTTTATGAGCTTGTGTATAAGGGAGTGTAATGAGATTTGATATTGTTGGGGTAGTGTGAGATACTGTTATTTAAAGGATATTGTTGAGGTGTAGAAGAGTTAAATTACTAGGTCATGTTGTCGATCTTTCGAAAAAGACTTGGAGATTATGAGACTGTAAAGTAATATACGTAACTTAAATTAGAGGGTTCAATCCCCTTGTTGAATATATTAAGTTATGTTGTGGTGCTTAGATCTTTTAGTGCCTTGCTTAGAAAGGGGGTAAGAAAAGGGTAAAGAGACTAAATTTAGGTGCCTTTTCTTTTTTACTCTGTTTTGTGCATTATCTTGAGAGAATTTTGCAATTGGTATGAAGGGTTACAGAGTAGTTTTATCACATCTTTGATCAGAGTTCTTAAAGTCTGTGCCAATAGTAAAAATTGTTGAACACTTTTTGTTAGCGCCTTAATCTTTGCCCTGTCACCAATTCACCATTCTCCTGTAATCTTTTTAAGCATTTAAACAGGTTGGATTTTCATAAGCTGGGAGCTCTGTTTTCTTTAATTCTTAAGAACCCAAAGATAACTTTTTGTTTGCTTTAGGTTTAATTGGGAGATCCTTTTGTTCCTTTCCTATCGACTTGAATAGTCCTTAGCACCAACTCTTTCATGTTGAATTGGCTAAAATAGAAAATACGAGTGAAATGAAAAAAAATAAAAAAATGTTCTGGTATAGGGGGGTTGTATGCTTGTGATCGGAAATGTAGGAAGGCAATGCCGTATGATCCCCAGTAAAGATGAGTTACTTGAGCTTAAAGAACCCAATTACTGGCTTTTCTAGTTTAGTTTTGTGCAGAATTCAAGGTGGAAGGTTTGAGCAAGCTGTTTATGTGTGGTATTGTTGAATTTTGTTTTTATAAATTTTTGCTATATGTGGGTTAGAACAATGGAATAAACAGATTTTGTAAGCTGTTAGTTCTACTTTAGATGAACAAATGAAATCATTAAATTATGGAGGAAATTATCAACTTATAATTATTTATATACAACTAATACAAGTATATGCTATTTTGAGTTTTGTTATTCAGCTGATAAACCTATAATTATTTATATGCATATTATATTGAGTTTTGTTATTAAATTGATAGTTGATGATGATGATGATGATGATTTCTGTTTCTTTTGCTCTTTTGATATTGAATTCAAGTGAGTTTTGATATTTAATTGATGATGATTAGTATGGTTTCTTTTTTGGAATTTTTTAGGCACTGAAGTGTGGTAATTTTGCAAGTAGTTAGTTTCATAGTTTTATTTTTGGTAATGAAAAGAAAACCGTCAATTGTTTGGAGAAATTTGAACTCATACAAGTGTTATATACTTATATCGATTGCATTGGTATCGGTGATGTAAAACCTCAAACTTGATGAGCTTGTTTTATAAACTGAAGTAATTTGAAATTTGAAATTGTAGTGGTAGTGTGAGATACTGTTGTTTAAATGGTATCGTTGAATAGTGAAAGAGTTAATTTACTTGGTCATGTCGTTGGTCTTTCAAAAAGACTTGGGAATATGAGTATACTTAACTTAATCAGAGGTTTTAGCCCTCTTGTATATTGTCTTAAGTTATCGTGTGGTGTTTAGATCTGTTTCAGTACCTCGCTTAGAAAAGGGGGGTAAGGAAAGGGCAAAGAGCCTAAATTTAGGTGCCTTTTCTTCTTTACCCCATTTGGTGCAATAATTTGAGACAATTTTGCAATTTGTATGAAGGATTATGGAGTAGTTCTGACAAACCCTTAATCAGAGGTTATAAAATTTCTGCCATTGATTAAAATCATCAATTACTATCTATTAGCAGCTTAGTCTTTGCCCTGCTCCTATTTCCCTGTAATCTTTTCGAGCATCCAGACTGAGTGGAATTACATGAACTAAGAGCTCTTTTTATTTGCTTTAGGTTTGATTGAAAGATCCTTTTGTTCCTTTCCTATTGACTTAAATGCTCCTTGGGACTTATATTTCGTGATGAATAGACTTGGAGGTTGGAACAAGAAAATGTGAGTGAAATGAGAAGGAAAAAAAAATCATTAGTTGCTTGAGATGTATAAATGCTCTGGTTGATCTCATTTGACTGGTTTACTTTGTAGAAGCACTGAAGCAGCTTCCAGAAACACACCTGCTATATTAATGTTCTGAGGGTAACCAAAGGTGTGTCTGTACTTGTGTATATGTCTCA